CACATCAGTCCTAGATCAGATAAACCGTGCAAGTGAATGAGTGAATATGTTACCTCTTTGAGTTCTGTCTTAAGTTCTGTTACTGTACAAAGTGTGGTGAAACAGCATTTATCAACTTCCCCCAGACAGTTAGCAGTGTGATGAATGCAGCACATAAATGCATCCTCAAACAGTTCTGAATAAAAAGGGCCTCAAATTGTGACTGATAACAGTTTGGTGCGTCATTGACTCATTATTTTTTTCAGTCCTTTCAGGTCCGGAAAGATGAGTCTGCTCAGCTGCACTGTGCTGATGTGTGGATAATGGTGTTCATAATGACTTAAGGTCATACTCACTTGGAGTTTAAAGAAGCAATAATAGTAATACAAAGAAGCAAAACGGCTTCTTTATATTACCTTAGAGGAGTTGAGCTCCTCACCCAGCAGAAGTCCTATATCCCCTCTTCTCCCAGTTATACATCGCCAGGTTTTATGTTTGATGATCTCCTGATCTGATAAGCTTTGTTGGGGTGAATCAGGCTGTACTAAGCTGACAACAATGTAAGTTTTATGGACGACCCATAATTTTAAAGATGATCAAGAATGGGTGAACTTGTTTTAATCTAAAATGTAATCACATCCCCCTCTGTTATCAGTGAAACAAGCCTACACAATGTTTAAGATGTACAAATGGATTAATGACACATTTAGGTTACTTTATACTAAATGGCTGAAAAGTAACAGCATGAAACAAACATTATTTTGGGGAAGACGTCTTGGTTGACATTTAATGACTAAGTATGAGTCTAAATTGACAGCTAAACTTGGGTCAACCTACCAGCCGTGCTTCTGATTTGCTGATCTAACAATAACTTTAAACCACTCTTTCCTAGAGCCATTGATGTTGCTGTTTTAGTTTTCTTGGCAGTTTCTCAACAAAGGGGCCAAACTGACCAAGATCCCCTGTGGGTAATACAATAACTTTTTACAAGTCCCCCATGCAGTCCCACTCCACAAACTTGAACCATCCCTCTCATGGAGGGTTGTATGTCAGGATCTGAGGAATTTCCTACTTCTTATACCACAACAAAGTCATGGGAGCATTTCACTGGCGTGTTTAAGGTAAGGAAGGAGAGTAGCTTCCCGTAATAATGTGACATAATAAACCTCACTGTTTTAATTCCTACTGCCCTCATTTTAAAACTACAACAAAGAAGTATGAGCTACATAACAGCTCTACTTAACACAGTCAGCTGCCCTATATATCCTCCAGGAGGCCGCTGCAAAGGAGAAGTGATATCTGCACATGATAGTCTTTCATTAATTGATAAACAACAATCTCAGCTGTTGTTTCAGACTCTATAAAGAGCTGATGCTGACTCAGCATCCTGGAACAGAACCAACTCTTTATGCTCAAATGAGACAAAAACTTGTCTATTTTAAAACCCTTGGAAAGGAACGAAAGTGTGTGAGAGCTCAGGTACAAAAGTTTTTAAACGTCCTTCATCTCTCCCTGATCCCTCCTCTTGTCCTTCCTCTGTCCTCTCTCTTTTATTTGCTCCCTAAAGCATGTGCTCCCTCCCCCCTTCGTGCACCAGCAGGCAAACACCCATACTTGACTCAGGTTTCTCCTTACCTTTCAGGTGGTTCAGAGGGGGTGAGTGAAGAGAGGAGGAGGAGGAGGAGGAGGGGAGCCTAAAGTGGTCACACTCCTGCGGTCAGCCAAAGGAGGACACTACTCATGATCACCTGAGTGCACTCCAATGACTTCAGAGTTTCAGGGCTGTGCCACAGGAATGTGGCTCCATCAGGCCTCTTTGGCATCGAGTTACACAAAACAGACACAAATTAAACGCAGATCCAGGGCTGACGAAACGAACAAAATGATATCAAAACTTGCTAATGAAGAAGAATTCAAGGTATCTGATGAAGGAAAAGAGGGGGAGGGTCCTGATCTGGGTCTAGCTGTAGAACAGATAAGATGAGCCAAACAATACAGCCTTTGTCATGTGATCAAGGTGGGATGCTATTCCCACACTGATCAGGAGTGGGTGCAGGAAGAGGAAGGGTGGGGGCAACAACAGGTGGATTCCACAGATAGAGAGGCTCTTTGATGACTCAGCCCTCCTGCACCAGGTGAAGGAAGGAGGCCAGACTCACCAGCCTTTAATTATTTATCCTTCTCAGTCAGTCAGAGAAGTTTTTCTGTCTGGTACTTCCATCCTTCCTTTGTGGGGTATGAAAACTATATTTACAAACACAGCTCGCTCTTCTAGGAAGTGGTTTTTATGACCTCATAGCTTTATATCCAGTGCCAATAAAAAGACTCCATCACGAAGTATTTGACTTCCAAATCATCATGCATTGGATAATACTGTGCATTTTTTAACCAATGGCTTAATTATATACTGCAGTCCTTATAATTTATCAAATTTCACCTCTGTAAAAAACAAGAAATAAATAATTTAAGAACAAGTCAATTCACCATGCATACAAATAAGCAGTTTTCCATTACAAATGCTGTTTTTAAAGGAGGATTGTTGTCACATTTAACCTGAGTAAAAAGTGCATATTGTTCTTCAGCTTTTTGAGTAACTGATGACATTAACTTTGAGTAAACATTTCCCTTAAGTAGTTTCAATACAGTTTGATAATGATACAGTACATTTCAATATGAAACTCTACAAAACAACAAGATATTACAAAGTATGCAACACAATATATACAACAATATGACACAACACAATGATGTAAGATAAGATGTGACACAGTAGAATACAATGCATCACAGTATGATAAGGATACTATATGATATGTCACAATGTATGACTGGAAATGTTACGATACAGTACAGTAGGATGTGATATGTCACAATGCGCTATGATATGATTCAAAATGATAAATCTTGATACGTCACCTTACGATAACATAGGATATATGGTGCAAACAGGTCATGATACAATACGTCATGATATTTTTCACAATAAGATACAATAGAGTATGATAGGAAACTACATATGTCATGATATGATGCAATATATGACACTATACGATACAATATATCACAATAACAATACATGTCACAATGCGATATATGCCACGTCATGATATGATACGATATGTATGATTCAATGCAATATAATGCCATATTATATAAGTCACGATTTGATACAAAATGATATGGCATGATTGAAAAAGACACAACACATTACAATTCTTTATGAGTGCCTTGGTGCTGAGTGGGACAGTACTACGCAACACAATACAATGTGATACGACAGGAACTGATTTGAAAAAAAAAAAAAGCTCAATAATCCCTGTAAGAAAATTTCTAATGAATTCAACTTTATGTGCTCCCATGACCATACTAATGAATGGAACATAAAAGAAAACCTATGCATTAAAGAAAATAGTTTTTTGCTTATTGTAGTCTAACTAGAAAGTGGCTTCACCAGTGTGTTTTACCTGTTGAAAGGCACAACAGCACTGTACTTTCACTTCATCCCTCAGGTTGCCATTTAGCTGGGAAGCACTGAACTTACTGATAAAACACTGAAGCTTCCCAACCTGTGCAAGACTTTAGAAAAGAGGAATATAGCGAAAACAGCTAAACATTAGAGGATCTCTGTGACCAAACAAGTCAGCTGAGTGGGTTAATGCAGAAGGGGGTTGTGTTTATATACCAAATATCTGTACTTTTAATAGGCTTGAAGACCCAGATTGTATATGTCAAGTGAGTTCACTCAAATACCAGGATGGCCTTTTAGATGTGCACAACTGACTTTTTAAATTGAGAAACCATTTTCATGCATCTGAATTTATTCAATTGGGACAATGCAAATTATTGTACATAGAAGCTGTAGTAAAACAGATGCAACTCTTGCTAGTTTAACTCCTGTCCTTGCTGAGGCCAAGGCTGAATAAGCAAGGTGGTTGAAGTTTAAGGTTTGACTCATTTTTAGGGTAACAATGACCAATAAAAAATTAATAAAATTTTTACAAGTTAAACTCTGAGTGAGTATGACCTTAAGTTATTGGCCTATTTTTTACTAATGACCTGAAAGACTGGCTTGCCATCACATTAGATGAGCCATGAATTGAGAGCAAGAGGTGTGCGATAAAAGCCTCAAGAAGATAGTCGTTAAATTTACTTAACCGTTTTCAGAAAACATATCAGCGTAGTTTCGCCCTGTGTAAACGTTTCCATCATACACCATAGCTAGAACATAAACCCTACATATACCTATTTCTCAATTTTTAACCCTGAAGTTGATAGTTACCTCATCTCACTTTAGTCGCTCAATCAGAACTGGAAAGTAAAACATTGTTACCCAAAGTGCATCCCTTATAGCCTCAGTTTTGTCAATCCACATCTCTTTTCTCTGCAAAAACTTTGTAACAGACTCACTGAACAATGCTTCCGTTTGCCAAATTAGTGTCAAGAAAAAAAAAAAATGTCAGGTGTCGACTTACAGTTCAAAGCTTTATTGGACATACAAAATTTCTAAAAGCAGTCACATGTACATCACACATTCCAGATTACGATATACAAAACTTTTCTTAACTAGTTTACAATCACGTTAGGCCCATAAAGCCCTTATCAAGTATCCATAATTTTCGTACATTTTTTAGAGTGCACAGTGGGCGTGAGTCACCAGTGACCTCCTCTCCATCCTCTGCAGAGGACTTCAGCTTCAACCTTTACACCAGTGTATGCCCGAAATGGGGAATTTCCACAGTCCACGGAGGGCCCTTGTGAAAACCAACGGGACTCAAGGCCAGCGTCTCCGGTCCGTGCGCAAAGCCGAAAGCCCTCTCTGGCACGTTCCTCTCGATGTCCCCCAAAAGTGGGAATACAAATACTTGTGTGAAATCCAAAATGCGTTTAACAACAGGGGATTCTTTTTTTTCTTCTTTTTTTGGGGGGTGGGGGCGCAACTGTTCTTAAAATGCGCTGCGTCCCCAGTCTGGGTGTCCTAGCGGTGTGTGAGTTTTCGGAGCGAAGCGCCATCAGTCCAGTTATTAGGACCAGCTGTGGAGAAGAGAGGCTCCCAGGGCCAGAGGAAGCAGCAGCGTGAAGGCATCGGTCCGACCGCAGCTACTCTTGCCTTTCTCGGTTACGTCCACGGCGAGAGTCGTCATGGTGTTGTTTGGCTTGGTAGTGTTTAGCATAGGGGCTTCCGTGGCGTTCTGAGCCTGGACCATCTGCAAAGACACCATATAAATGTTTTAACAGGCAGGCTAAGACGGCTTTGTACTTAAATAACGAGGAGGGAACGATAAGGAGCAATGAGCTGACAGAAACCCGTGCGTAAATACCCGGGAGTGGAGCAGGCATGTCACCTGCCTGCAGTTGAAAGCAGGTTGATGCCATTAAAAAGGAAACTGAAATCCGAAGAAAAAAAAAACAAAAAAACAAAAAAAAAAACTTTTAAAAGTTTTTAAAAATTTAAAAAGCCAAATCAATGTTCAATTTTTTCTGACTTTTCACGCATGAAAGCTGAAACCTTAATTTACGAGAAAAAAAAAAAAAACCTAAATGATTCCACTTTTATCATTAATTGCCCTTTTTATTTATTCTAACCAAGGCAATTTCACAACTTACCAATATCATCTCAAATCACAACATTTCTTATTCACTGGTTGGAAGATACATCTTATATTGCCTGCCCCTCACTCAATGTCTAATTACTCTAATAATCGGTCACTGGGCAACATTTTGTCGGGAAGAGTACTTTTCTCCTGGCATTAGACACACGAAATACACACGCCTCTTGCTATTAATTCGATTAGAAATTAAAAACACCTGTTACATAATGCAATGTTAAAGGAGACAATATGGCTCTACAGTATTTAGTTTACAACCTCTACAAGTCCATCCACCTTCGCCTTTGTCGAAGTCCACAAAAACGACAAAATAAAGGAGGCATCTTACCTGAGAAGAGAGGATACTGAGAGCCAGCAAGAAAAGCCCCAGGTGAACTAGGCACATCTTCATCATGTTGGCGCTGAGAGTGTGTATGAGTGAACAAAGTCTGGACTTGCTGCTCCACTTAGGTTTGCTGCTGTTCTCTGAGGAGGTGGATGAAATTAGAGAAGCTGCCACGCGCTTTATACGGCAGGTGACGTCATCACACACTCAATACCACCTGCTGTAGACTATACCGTGCTGCATTCAGGTGCTATCGGAGATACAGAGATGATAGGTGCGTCTCAATCAAAGCATTAAAGTATCGCGAGAAAAGCCAGTTTTCTGTAATTTTTTCAAAATGTATAATCCTGCCGGTTTAGATCAAGTAGGGGCCTGATTGATCGTGGTGCATTAGGTTCTAATTTTAAGTTTAACCTAATAACAATCAAAGTTTTTTCCTTAGTTTTTGTGAAGGGCGTTTATTTATCACGATTTTTGATCTTTCATGATGGACGCTCAGCTCAAATAGATATTTGTAAATGAGATGTACGGGGGAAAATTATTACAACCCTTACATTAAAAAGATTAGCCTACTTGGCACAGCTCTGTATCTTTTTTTTAAACCTAATGTAAGATCCCTAACCAGGATAGGCGCTTTTTTCTGTTTCGTTGCCTTAGTTGAAACTCATTGAACTGACAAAGGGTTTGAAACCACGCGCATATAACTTATCATAAATACACTGTGAAACGATACAATCTAAAAATGACTTGTTTATTTCCACTGAAGAACCAAGAAGATGAATTCAACTGCCATGAAATCCCTTAAAATGGATAAACAGCGCCCTCCATTGACTGTTGGCGTGTTAACTACTGTCAAATTGAGCGCGACTGAACTAGTATTGTCCCATATGACTGTCCGTAGCTGTCCTCCCCGCAATATCTTCCGGAGAAACACAACATTGCAAGGAAGGCGGAGTACAACGACGCATTAGCTGTACGTAGTCGTAATTTAGACAATTTTTTTCTGTGTTTGTTATTTTACTTGGGCACACAGCTCGCCCCTCTCCATGCTATTGTGCCGAGTATCGGTTTTAGGCCAAACGCTAGCGAGATGTGGACGGAGGTCACACCGGGGAGGCGGCCTCCTCCACCGTGCTCTCTCCTTCAGCTCCAGCCGCTGTCAAGGTGTCGGTTCAGGGGAAAGCAGCGCTCAGCCCGCAGAGACAGCCACCGCACAGGGACTGTACCGGGATACTGTCCTCCTTCCCCGGACTGATTTCCCCATGAAACTTAGTGGACAGAAATTACTGGACAGAGAACTCGAGATACAAAAGGTACTGTGATGGGTAGACTCCTATGATTACCCACCCAGGAAATGTCGAGTTTACGTTTTTCTGTTTATTGACAGCTTAAATTATGTTGCTGCTCATGACCCAAGACTTATTCTTCTTGTAGATAAACTCGTGCCGTAATTCGGCATACATTTTGATGCTTTTAAAACCAGTTTTTCCCCCAAACCTCCTCATTTGAGGCACATGCTCTTAAGCTGTCGGTTTTGTCATAGCTTTGATTACACATAAGAACATGATTTACAGCCCTTCAGATTTACTTGTATGTGCACAATAAACAAAAACTATAAATGTTTCCTACTTTTGCAGGAGTGCGGTTTTGCAGATTTGTACTCATGGCAGAGAGTAAGAAAGGCCAAGAAGGAATTCTGTCTTCATGATGGACCCCCGTATGCTAATGGAGATCCTCATGTGGGTCATGCACTGAACAAGGTGATCAGTTCACACTGTGCTCATAATATTTTAGGTACTTCTTGCTTGTGTATTGCACTATAATACCCAGTCAATGACAATTTCACGCATTTTCATCTTGTTTAATCCAGATCCTGAAAGATATGCGAAACCGCTTTGAGATCCTGAGGGGGCGGCAGGTTCACTACATCCCAGGCTGGGACTGCCACGGCCTGCCCATCGAGCTGAAGGCTCTGGGGGAGTTAGGAACTGGCAGCCTGACTCCGCTGCAGATCAGAGAGAAAGGTAAAAACAGGGCATAGAGTAAGATAACATTTAGGGCCTTATGGAGTTACAGCTTCTGTAATTTGCTGTTGTCAACCCATCCAGCACGGGCATTTGCAGAGGGGGCCATAGCTTGCCAAAAGGCCGCTTTCCAGCGCTGGGGGGTTGTGGCTGACTGGGACCAGTGCTACTACACCTTTGATGGGGCCTATGAGGCTGCTCAGCTGAAAGTTTTCCAGGAGATGCACGGCAAGGTGAACTTTGCTCTGCTTTCTATGACTGGTGTAGAGCTGTCAACAATTATCTAAAGTTTGGCGATAAAACATCATCTGCGATGAATCACAGTTAATTTTCTGTTGCTTATGATAAGAAACTTTGTATATATTTTTTTACTCTTTGGACTGATCAAATAGCCTAATACAGAAGAGAAACGTGTCTTGAAGTACATGTCACAGAATGTTTGAACTACAGGACAAGGGCATACAAAACAGGCATTGCTCGATAGTGGAAATCACTGCATGGGCTCAAAATCTGTGAACACAGTAGGTTGCTGCATCTCCAAATGCATGTAAAGCTTGAAAACACCATGTATGAACATGATCCAGAAACACTGGGACTCCTCTTGGCCCAAGTAAATTTGAGTTGGACCAAGGCAAAGTGGGAAACTTCCCTGTGGTCTGATGGATCAAAATTTGACACTCTTTTTGGAAATCATGGATGTTGTGTCCTTCCATCTTAATATTAGAGGGACCACTCAGCTTGATATTTTCACATAGTTCTGAAGCCAGCATCCTTGATGGTATGGGGATCATCAGAGTCCATGTCATGGGTAGCTTCCACATCTGCAAAAGCACCATTATAGCTGAACATTATATACAGGTTTCAAAGGAACACATATTGCCATCTAGACAAAGCCTGGCCTTGTGAATGGCAAATATTTTGGGCAACATAAACTTACAACAAGCTTAGCTGTGACTTGGCTTGCAGCCCATTCTGACTTCCTCTTCATGGTAAAGAGTTTTTTTGATCGAGGAACTGCTTTTTCTTTTTTTCATTTTAATTCTCTGCTATTTAATCTGTATTGTGAAAAAAATAGTTATAAATCCTTCAAAATGGTCGATAGACAACTCCAACTATTCCAGTATTATATATTACGATAGACTGCTTCAACCAAACAGGAGAAAACAGTGATTTTACAGTATCACACAGCCCCATTGGAGAGTTAAATAGTCATATGAGTAGTGATTGTTAAAGGGGTGGGTGTGAAACTGAATTTTGTGTCTCAGTTTTCTGTGTCTTCTTATTTCTTTGTGCTCTTCTTCTGCAGGGACTCATCTATCAGGACTACAAGCCAGTCTTCTGGTCACCTTCATCAAGGTGCTGACTTGATGTGCTTTTTGCAGAGTTTGTTGCATCAGGGCCTCTGCGGTCTCTCACAATCCACTTAATTTATCTGTAATTAGAAAAGAAAAAATCTCAAATTCTGTCTGTTTCTGTACAGAACAGCTCTAGCCGAGGCAGAATTGGAGTACAACCCTGAGCATGTGAGCAGAGCCATCTACGCCACATTCCCCCTGAGCACGCTGCCTCCTAAGATCACCTCAGAAGCAGGTAATACAAAGACACTTATATACTCGCTATTCAGACCTAAACCTCTTACTGTTGAAGACAACTATTTACAAAGTTTGTGTGCATGTGTGTTCCTCAGCTGGTCTGGAAAATATTTCTGTGTTGGTGTGGACTACCCAACCGTGGACCATCCCTGCAAATGAGGCTGTCTGCTTTATGCCTAATGCACAGTGAGTTAAAGCCAGATTACAGATATTTCATTAGAAAGTCTGAGCTCTCTGCTTACACTGCCAATCTCTCAGCTACTGCAGTTTTAGTTTGCAGAATTAGCTTCTTTTTTGTCTTGTTTGTGGAGCTGAACTTGTCTCGACTATCTGTTTCTCACATCTTTGGCATGTATTCATGTAGTTTTTGGACAAATCAGGTCAGATATTTTAGATGATTTTCTTGTTTGTTTTCACGTTGCTTGTAGTTTGGATACAGTTGTAAACTCACTTCGGTCATTCCTGACATACAGAAGATTTCTTGGAGCAAACAAACACTGAAATATCCCACAGTTACTCTGAGCTTTGTTGTGTGTTTCCAGATATTCTCTGGTGAAGCGAGCGGACAACTCCCAGCTGCTCTTTATGGCCACTGAGCGCACAGCCAGCCTGGCAGCACTTCTGGGCACGGAGCTGGAGAGTGTGGACACCTTCACAGGTAAGAGAGAGGAAGAGAGCCCTGCAGGTTACTATTTTGTGTATCTAAGAGGGTTATTTGCTTTCTTTTGGACAGCTATCTTAGTTTTAGTCACATTTTAGTTTTACTCTAGTGTTAGTTTACAAAAAGTGACCTGGGTTCAACCTCTCATATCCCGAAGTCCAAGACATGCTCCTAGATAGGCGTCAAACAGACAGTTTGCCACTCTTTCTGCTGCATCCTCATCTTCAATAGTTACAGCTGATCAGGACAAAGCATTTTACGTAATCTGCTTTTTGACGTATCTCCAAACTGGGATTAAATGAAGTTCTAAGATTGAGCTGTCAACTGTAAAATTGACTTAAAGAAGGAAACGTCATGTATTACTCTGACGCCGCCCTGGTGGCTGATTGTGTCTTTATAAACATCTGTCAAAAATGAGGGAGAAGTGGAGGCAGAGAAGGTTAGTAACTCAGACTGTTACAGAAGTGTGTCGCTTGTATTTTAGGTGACTGACAAGGTACCCCTGGGGTAAAATATGCAAAAATGACTCAAATGTGACTGTGTGTTTCGTTACAAACATCAACACTCAAATGTCCCATCTTTTCTTCAAAGGCTCCCAACTGGAGGGAGGGATCTGCAAACATCCCACAATTCCTGACAAGGAAGTGCCGCTGTTACCAGCCAATCACGTGACCATGGGAAAAGGAACGGGATTGGTCCACACAGCACCAGCTCACGGCATGGACGATTACAGTGTGGCTTCACAGTTTAAGCTCTCTGTGGTGAGAAAACAAAAGAACAGGAATATTTTTATATTATAACTGATTGTTTTATTACTGAAACAAAGTAGTGTGATATGTCGTCTGTGTGTGTCTGACTGAGTATGTGTTTCTTCTGCTAAAGGAGTGTATGGTAGATGAGGACGGAAAGTTCACTGAGCTGGCAGGTCCAGAGCTGCAGAATCTGCGTGTGATGACGGAGGGCACAGACAAAGGTACAGCATGATACTTGAAGTGTTTTTCTCTGTCTTTGCAGATAAGTAAGCAGTCTGTAACTTTGTCTTCTTCATGTCTGTTGAACATCTTGCATTGGTCAGTGATCTCCATGCTGAAGGAATGCGGGGCTCTGTTGAAGGAGGAGCAGTGTGTCCACAGTTACCCGTACGACTGGAGGACCAAACAGCCTGTCGTCATCAGACCCAGCAAACAGTGGTTCATTAACACAGCCTCACTGAAAGACAAGGCCAAGGTAGAGCTGGAGGACATTTATCATCACATGAATCATGAGAGTTCTCCTCCTGGTGTGCAGAAAGTTCTGTTACTTTACTCTCTAATGCATCGTGTGTGTTTTTCCAGGAAGCGTTGCAGAAGGTGCGTGTTTTGCCCGAGTCAGCACGGAGCAGCCTGTTGTCCATGTTGGACAGACGGACCTACTGGTGCATTTCCAGACAGAGAAGCTGGGGTGTCCCGATCCCGGTCTTCTATCACAAAGAGACCGGAGAGGCTCTCATTAACAAGTAGGCTGCAACACAACAGTCCTGCAGACAAGCAGGCCTGGGAACATGCTTGGACTCAGTAAAAGTGATATGCATCAGATTGTAAGAGATACTCAACCTGCTGTGTGAGAAACTGAACATCCTGCTTGTCTCTGCAGGCACACAGTGTCCCATATCGCAAAGCTCTTCAAAGAAAGTGGAAGCGATTGCTGGTGGGAACTTCCTATTGAGACTCTGCTTCCAGCAGATGTGCTGAAAAAGGTCAGTTTAATGTCATAGGTACAGTCGCAGAAGATGCTCTGACAGAATTTCATCCATGGAGACAAATGAACCATATCAGCATGTGTCTGAAACATGACAGATATCCACATTTTTTCACATACGATCCAATCTTGATTCCTGAATTTTGATATCTGCAGATACCGATACTATTCTGATACCAGCGCTCCCTTAGCTTTACCATCATTATAATCATTATTGTTTATTTTATATGAGGCTGGAATAAACTCCTCTCTACAGGCAAGTACACTACAGGCCAAAAGTTTGGAAGCAAGATCAGATTTGTACAAAAAAAGATCATAGTTTCATATATATAATTTGCAACACAATAAACATGACTATTGTGTAAAGAGTAACTTATCAGAAGACGTTTAAGACTTTAATTATTAGGTATTTGAGTTTATTGTTGCTTAGACTTTGCTTTCTTTAAAGTAACCTCCTCTGGCTTTAACAGCTTGACATATACCAGGCATTCGTTCCACAAGTTTATTAAGTGGGAATCACGTGACCCATGGGAATTCCCGAAAAATGTCATCCTCTAGTTTGAATGCAGTTGAGATTTATTAGGATTTTTGTATGCAGACTCTCAAAAGCCAAAAAGTTGAATTGAATGATCCAACTGTGATTTGTTTTTTTGCTTTTGCACTGAAGTTGTGACTCTTGCAAATGTTTTCAACCCCAAAACTAAGCCCTTAGTATCTTCCCTATTATCCCTATTATCTGACATATATCAAGAATCATTTGTACAGTAATTTTAGACAAAGTTAAAACAAAGACATGACTTATGGATTGGAAATTTTCGCAGGTTGGATCGGAAATTTCCAAACCATGAATTGCATTGTTATCGGAACCCGATACCGATACTGAATCGGAATCAGCTCCATGACAGACAAAAATCAGCATTTAGGGAGATACAGACTTTGAATCACACTGCTCAGTGCCTCCAGACTCCATGGACGAAGTCAGCGTTGTGTCCTTGCAGAGACAGAAATTACTGCAAAACACCGTACTTCTTCAGGGTGGATTATCTGTGTCAGCCTTTTGTTTTGGAGGTGGCTGTTTAAAAAGTGGCTCTGCTGCCAGTGCGTCTTTCCCTCTGACTTTGTTTCTTTGTTTGTGTCTCTATCAGAGTAAAGCAGGTCCAGTGACTGACTACGTTTGTGGGCAAGACGTTTTGGACATCTGGTTTGACAGCGGGGCATCCTGGGCAGCTGTACTAGAAGGTACCCCTGTAATATTTTCACTCCTCTCTTTGTTTTGCAGATTTGGAAGAATTCAAACATATTTAGCTGTTTTGGTGTTAAGAAGAATCTGAAGCTGGAGGTTAAAATGGATGTAAAATCACAGATGTTCATACAGTCTGAGGAGTAGCAGTTGGTTTTCCAGCTTCTGCAGTGCTTTTAATAACTTCATTACTTTTACTGTGAGGAGCTGAGAAAGCTCCTTACACTTGTTTGATGTAGCTCATGAATTAAGTTTCTCCATTAAGGGACTGTAAGCACAAACAAATCTGGATTAGGTGGTGCAGTCACAGCAGACTGGGGTCACCTTGTTAGGTTTCTGCAGCTCAGCAGAAATAGACATGCAGTCTGTCAATTCCCCATCAAAAACATCCATGAGGACTGTAATATAGTAGCTGATCTTTGATATTTACAACAGTGTGACAATTTGGGGCGGTTTGGTTTGAAGAAGATTTTATTTTTTTTTTTTACAGATTTTTTTTCAAGACTTAAAAAAAAAAGGTTTCATGAAAGTTACTGTGACGAATTTTAAGCAGGTGTTCAAACAGGTTGAAATCAACACTGATGTGACTTCATGAACCACAAAAGCGAGATTGTATTTCTGTATTTTAGAAAAATGTGAATGTTGCAGAGGGGAGGCGTCACAGGAAACACTTAAAGTTTCTGTAGGGAACTTTTAACTAGACTTTTAAAAGTATCTCGCTTCTTTAGATGTTTGTGTCACCTAAAACAGCAAATGAGCCCATTGGAGGGAAGATATTTCTAAATAGTCTAACTCCTACTTTCAAGGTTCATTGGTTGGGTCTGCCCACTGCCAAAACAATTTACAGCATGCAGGCTGGAAGTTACGGCACTTATACAGGGACATGAGAGGAGCAGTGAGTTGTTGCTAAGCTAGCCAGTGAAAACAGAGCAAATAGCTACACATGGCCGATGATGGGACGGGGTCCACAAGAAGAAAACAAATTAGAGCAGAAGAACAAAAAAAAGCCATAAGAGAATGTGATCAAGCGAGGGCAAAAACGAGGATAAACATTGGTTATTCCTTCGCAAGGTGAAGAGAGTGGCGGGGCTTGAAGGGATCCAAGTCGGATCCTGCCCAATTCCTCCTAGATAGGTAACATAAACTGTGTTTTTTTACACTGCTGGCTTATTGATATGAAGATATAACATTACAGAGGAAAGCTAGCTTTATAAACTAATCTGCGGAGTCATCTAATCTAATCATCGCCAGAACAAAGCCCTTGTATGTGTCTTCACAACAGTATGCGCAAGAGCTCATGGGAAATGCAGTCATCATTCCGACAAAACACTACTGCTTTTGTCCATAGTGGCTGCCAAATGCAACGGAAAATGAAAACTCCATTCAGCTGCTTTAACAGCATGTTGAGGAAACATCTTTTTTCAACATGTCCAACAGCAAATATTCACACTAACTGTTACATTTGACTGCTTCAATGATGAAGGGAGGATGCCATTTTTGCCAGACATGCACAATAAAGAGAGAAGTCATATCCTTTATGTCCACAGGGGGCACCAAAATCAATACAAACGAAAAGTTCCTCAAAGGAGCTTTAAGTAGACTTAATATTGCAGCAAGATGTGAAAAGTGTGAGCCAGAGTTTGTAGGTTTATGTTGACAAAGTAATGAGCTCTGAGAGTGGAATGATAAAGTCTGGTCTATAATGTGTCCTCTGTTGTGTTTATAACTGAACTAGGATAATAAAAGATTGAGCAAGAATACTTGAGCTCTTACTCTGTCATTGTTATATCTGTTCATTGGGTTTCTAAGAAAAACTTATGGAGTCACTTTTGTCCTCTGTAAAACATGTTTTAAAAAAGAGTGTGTGATGGACTAAAAATCAGTCAGCCAATTAGGATTAAGTCTAAAAGCATGTAGATCCATAGCCAGTTTTTTTTTTTTTTTTTTTGTTAAAGTCTGGAGAAAGAGCGTCTGTTTCATTGGAGATGTGATGTGTTAAATTCTGACTCACAGTCTCATTCAAATGATTCATCATTTCACTGTGGTCATTTGGTGTTTGTCGTTGTCACTTCCAGAGGAGACAGAGGAAGACTCTGAAGAGCCTGAGTCACATCTCAGCTGGCTCCCTGCTTCACTTCGTAAACCTCTGGTCACAGGTTAAAAGAGAGATCTCGCTGAGTCAGCAGTATTGTCTTCTAACAAGTCTCTGGTCCTCTGTGTCTGTGTTTCAGAGGCTTTTACTCCTCTGTCTTATCCCTCTCTTGCCTTCTCTGTTTCCTTCTTGGTCATTTTGTAGTTTGTATAGTGTAATGGGTATCTAACCTCTGCAAATTAATTTGAGACCAAGACTGTTTAAATGTAAGAGGAGGAGTTATTATGAGAGCCAAACATGAATGACAGAGACTGCATGACTATCAGCCTTTTCTTCTCTGTCTCTGGATGCAGGCTGCACTCTAAACACCTCTGAGAAAACCCTGCAGCAGTTTCCTCTTTTTCAGGAATGGCCAAAAACCTTTACACCTCTCTGCTCTCTGTTCTGTCCCTGGTTTGGTTATTGAAAAGCTTTTTCCCAAATGTTAGGTGAAAACTGAAACAGTGACCATAAAGATGCTGCTTAGTCATCTTCAGAACTTCTTCTAACACTGGCTGGTCTGTCTGTTTGATATTTCTTCTCCTCGGGACACACTAACATTTTAATTCACCTTTCAATTCTGGCCTGAGTGAAAGAGTGATCCTCTTTTCTCTGTTTCTCCCAGAGTCAGACTCCAGGGCAGATGCCTACATCGAAGGCAAGGACCAGATTGGAGGCTGGTTTCAGTCCTCGCTGCTCACTAGTGTTGCTGTCAGGAACAAAGCTCCTTACAAGTAAGCTAAACCTGAGATCTGTACAATAGGGTTAGGCTCCACACCTGATCAGGGTGAACTTGACTATATTTTGACTGTATTTTTTATGTTTTTTCGACATGTAAATGTAGGATGAAACATCTAAAAAACACATTTGCACCTTAAAGTATCTGTAAAATGGTGTCATTTTATCTTTATGACCTCTAAATCCCAAACCAGACCGTTACAGGAAGAGTATTGTTCCATAAAATCACCATATTGTTGCAATACTAACGATAAACCTGAAAATAAAACATGCTGTCAGCGAAATTTTGGAAAAATAGACACAACTCCTTAAATTTACCGACAGATACTATGAACTTGTCAAAATCCATTTCTAATGTTGTTCAAATTGGGGATTCATTCACATGAGCAAAGCTGTGACGGAGACTTCTTTTGAAATGATGCTTTTATTTTGAAGTATGCTGTCTTTGGTAGATCATAAGATACAGGTACAGAATATAGATAGTTAAAAGAACAATTAAATATTTGTAGGGGTGTCCTGATATAACTTTTTTACTTTCTATATGATACCGATACTGTAGCCTTCAGTTTTGGCTGATACCGATATTGATCCGATATTAGCACAAACTTGTGCATGACAAGTTTTGCAACTCAGCTGCAAGGTCTTTTTCAGACTTTGTTAGTAGCTTAGTACACGCTGTTGTTGTGATCATGTGGGTTCTGCATGCTGCATCCAGGCGCTGCTAGATAAAGGTGCTGGAGCAGAGTCTGGAATGGACTGCTTGTATCGGATTGCTGATTTCGGATATTTTAGATGCAGGCCAGTATAATCCGATATTTGGTTTTTTGCTCATATTGAACCAATATCCAATATTAATATCAGATTGGGACATCCCTGAATATATGATTGATTAGTGACCTGAACAGGCACAAATTCAATTGTAGATTTTAGATTCATAATAGATCTTTGAATGTCAGTTTTAAGTGTTTTTCCCCTCTCAGAGAGCTGTTAGCAAGCTCACCAGCAGCTGCCCCATATCGTCTGTTTCTTTCATGATAATTCCAGGCAAAACTTTGTAACGAGTTGCAGGTTTTAGAACTAAAAGGCAGCCGTGGAGATTTGTCATGAGGGAATACGAATGAGAAAAGATATGGATGTGGGACTTTATTCACAGGAGCCTAAAGAAAGTGCTTTAAGTCGAGTCTTTCTGCGAAACCTATATTTTGCGTCATAAAAATCATAGAGAATGTTGAACCGTAGCCTCACTTTATACACCAGAAGGGGCTAATGGTGTGTGGTTTTTGTGTTTAGGTCTCTGGTGGTCCACGGCTTCGCTGTTAGCGAGAAAGGAGAGAAGATGTCCAAGTCTGTGGGAAACGTAGTCAATCCTGATGAAGTCATAAATGGAGGAAAGGTAAGATGCCTCTGCACAAGGTGAAAGGTCTGAACAAAAAATTTTATAAAGTTTGGGGTCACTGAAAGAGGATGGATGAATTTTAACTAAACCTGCAGTGGCAGATACTCAGCTGATAAGGTGATAACATTTTTATGATCTGATTTCTAAACATTTACTTAAACATTCTTGAAAAGGTTGACTGAGGCTCCTCTTGAATAAAGAAAACTGAAATCCTATCCTTTGGTCAATTACTGTCAAATGAAGTATATGCAGATTATTTTCAAAAGCTGCATATGTTGACTCATATGTTGTAAACATATTATCACACAAGGTGTGTTACGGTGAGAATTAACTTATTAGCTGAACATCGAGTAGCATGAGATAGCATTAGCCATATTCACAGTAAACACTACACATTAGTATAGCATCCAACTTGGACTGTAAAACATCATAAAACTCACTTCTGACACAATAAAACACACACAATAAACCCGGGATGTACAGGTGAATAATAAGTAAAAACAGGTAAGAGGAAATTCACAAACTATCCACTGCTGCATGAGGAGGAAAACTGAACTTTCACTGCTAAGGCATCTCACACACAAGTGTGGTGCAGTTCCATTGCATCAGAGCATGCATTCACGAGCATAGGTCAAATAATACCTAACTGTAAAACACAATATAACTGCACAGTATTTACTTGAAAACGAAAGTGTTAAATGTATATTTCAAATAAGAAATGTAAAAATCAGACTTTTTTCTGCAAATTTAGCTCAATTAACACATTATGCATTCATTTAAAACATTTTCCAGTGAAGAAACACAACTTTACAATCTTTTACCCCTTTAGACGTCATTCATTTGTATTTTGATATTAACATTTCTCAAAACAGATTGGCAAAATTCATCTGTAACCCTTTAAAGAAGCATCTTATAAACACGTCATACCTCAGCACTCTTGTGTGGTTTGTCATCTCTGCTGCTCCACACTTACTCTCCTGTCTGTGTTGTTTTCAGGACTCCGGTATGCCAGCCTACGGTGCAGACGTGCTGCGTTGGTGGGTGGCAGAGTCAAACGTCTTCTCTGAGGTTCAAATTGGACCCAGCTCTCTCAATTCAGCCAGAGAGAGCATCAACAAGGTGCCAGAAGCAGCAAAAACTCTGCAGATGTCACTCACACTCTCTTAATATTAACACTTTCGTCTGTCCGTCTCTGCAGCTGAGGAACACGCTGAAGTTCCTGCTCGGTAACCTGCAGGGCTTCGATCCTCGTGTTCAGGCTGTAGATCCCAAAGAGATGCACTACATCGACCAGTACATGTTGCACCTGCTGCGAGAATTCAGCATCAAGGTGTGTTGAGATGTTAACACAGATGCTGCTGACACACAGAGATAGACTCATGGTGCCTTTTTCCACAGTTTCTCCTTCATTGAATCATTATCATACAGTTGAAGAAAACAGTTTGTGTGTGTGTGTGATACACGTCTGTTTCCAGGTGACAGACGCCTACAGTGAGTTTGATGCTGGCAGAGTAATCCGGATCCTCCAAGCCTTTATAAGCAGAGACCTGTCCAGCTTCTACTTCAGCATCATCAAAGACAGGTGAAGACTTCCTCTGTGTTTTGTTTAGCTGTTACTGTGTTTTACTTCAGTTTGTTTAAACTCTCTCCCCTCCACCCTCCTTCCCCTCTCTGCTCATCATTTTCCCCTGGTTTGATCAGACTGTATTGTGATCCCGAGGACTCTTTGGGCAGAAGATCATGTCAGACTGTTTTAGAGGAAGTCCTTGACGGAGTCACTCGGTCTGTCGCTCCCATCCTCCCTCATCTGGCTGAAGAAGTCTATCTCCACGCACCGGGACACGATGGTATGTGGCTTTCAGTTTGTGTTATCAGACTTTAAAGTTTGTTTTTATAAACTGTGGTTGTTTTTGCAGAAGGGGAGACGTTGTTCAAGAGCGGCTGGGTCAAAAGCAGTTCTGTGTGGCGGCGACCGGGATTAGAGGAGGCGGTGGAGGGGGCGTGCGCCATCAGGGACACCTTCCTGTCCTCCATTCCTGGAAAAAATTCTACTCAGTACGACCTGACCATCGCCATCGAACCCGGACTGCTGTTTGAACTCATGGAGGTATTTAGATGATGTACTGTTACTTGGAAGTCTATCTGAAGGGATTTTACTCGTATGCAGACTCACCAACTCCTGTGTTTGAATTTCAGTCTCTCCAGGAAGAGCCGTCCTCTACCTCCTCTCAACTGGCTGAACTGATGATGGTGGCGCGGGTTAACCTGACCAGTAAGCTGCCCAGAGACCTGCCACATGACGCCGTGTTGAGCCACGGGACCTTTCTCATCAACCTGGAGGGTGAGGGAACTTTTGACGTACCATTCAAATGTTGTATTACTGAGTGAACTTCATGCTCAGTGTGTGTGTGTGTGTGTGTCCTTCAGGCGGCGTTATCCGAGAGGACAGTGCCTACAGTATAGCTGTAGTTCCCACCTCTGCGTCCCGCTGCCCGAGATGCCGACGCTACACCTCCGAGTCAGCTGACTGCCTGTGCCCTCGTTGCCAGACTGTTGTCTCTCTGGCTCAGTGACATATGACAAAGAATGTGTCGCCATGACAGCCAGGAAACACCACCTGGGCCTGAGTATTGACCTGGTTTTCCCATCCCAGCCTTTATGAACTGAGTGTTATTGTTGCCTCACTGCAGTTTTCTCTCATTTTGGCACAGCGCTTGCATCATCAGAGAACGGCTTTAAAAGCATAAACACAAACGTTGCCTGACTCCACTGTTCTCACACACCTGGACTCCAGAGCAGCAGGTGAAACCGGAGAAGCTGAACATGTCAAAGATGGCCACTGTCACCTTCCTGTGGTCTGAATCTTGCATTTGAATCTGTCACTGCACAAGCTGGTTTACTGTAAATATACTTGGAAAGTCATGATGGAGGATTTTGTTTGTTTATTGAAAAGAAATTTACTACTATGAGTGTCACTGTGTGACGAAAGTAAAGAATTGGTTGCGGGTTCTGTCTTTGTAAAATCAGTAAATATACCCTGTTCCTCTTTAATTTTACCCTTGAATAAATGCTGTATGAAAACATTGTACCTAAATTATAAATAAAAGTCAGGGCTTAAAACAAGGAAATGTGTGTGCCTGAAATGTAGAGCAAGGACAGTTTATGTGCCTGACAGTTTTTTAGGGGTGAGGAGAAAGAACAGAGGTACAGATTGAATAAGTGAATGTATAACAAAGGAACATGTTTATTATTTTAACTAATAGAAGTGAAAATGAACATACAAATATAAATCGGTTATGACAAATTTTGCACATTATCCAAAATAAACAAAAAAGAATAGGCACGGTTTAGGTTTTGAAACGTTTTGGTTTGTACATCAAATCCTTGAGCTGATCTGTGCCACTCTGTTTTATGGGGGACCTGGGGATTCTGAGGGCAAGCAGGAGTCTCCTGAGGAGGTGCCCAACTGTGCAACTCTAACTTAAATGCAGGGATTCTACTTTGAGTAAAGCATGTAAAGCACCACATTTCGAAGATATTTCCCTAATTTTGTTGGTAAGTAAATACTTGTGAGATAATGTCCAAACCTTTGGCCATGAAATCTTGTAAATGAAAGAGTTCCCAGTAAGACAAAAGAGATGGCTTTGTTGTCAGCTCTGTTTAAAACAGTGTATGTATTGCTCAGTTACTGTTCTTTTGTACAGAACCAAAACAAAGTTTGCCACAATGGGTATCCAAGGCTTTACAACAGAGACATCCCCTAAAGGCAACACGCCTTTACGTAGCATCACTGCACCATCTGGAATGGCTTTTACGATTTAAAGAAATTCAATGAATGGAGCTGCAAAAGATTACTTCTGACAAAATTTGTGATAATCAAGCAAACATTCATTTAGAGTCAATAACTGAGAAACTAAAAGGTTACTCCTCTCAAGCCAATTCTGTGAAAAGCTTTTTTCATGAGTAAATGTGGAATTGCAACCCTAAAACAAGCCAATTCAATCTTTGTTTTACCCTGGACTTAGAGTGAGAGCAAAGGTGTGGACAGGAAATTTGGAAAATCCAGAGATTTGGACTTGTGTATTGTTAGTTTTTGTCTTTTTTGGGACAAAAAAAAAAAAATCAAAGTAAAACAGCAGACTGCTCCCTTTTGTACACCACTGTTACATAAAGATGCTTTACTGCTGTTGTTCATTTTAAACTTTTTTCTTCTTACTTCTTTTAAACTTATCCACTGAAAGTTTAGAAAGGTCTCCGCTTTCCTCAGCTGAGGCTGAGAGATGTGTGTGACTTTGGGTGTGTGTGTGTGTTAGTATGTAGGTATAATATCACAATGTTACTGGTATTATTTGAAGTCTCTGAAGAATGCAATCATAACTTAACACCCTGGAAGCAGCCCCCATAGCCCTTTCAAAATTTTTAATTTTCTAGTTGATTATGTTGTGCAGGGTTGGTGGACTAGATACCTATGTTTGCTTTGAGTTTTTAAAGGAGAGCAGATAGTGGCAATGATGTATTTTCTATTTATTTCTATCTATTTTCTATTGATTTACCAAGAAAGTTTACTCTTGCGCACTGAACAGCATATTCAGCATCAGGACCATGATCCACCTCCTGTCTAACTCATCAAACTGTGATGAGTATGCATATAGACGGAGGTGGATCAGCTGCTCTTCTGGTGTGGTCAGAACCATCTGGAGCTGAACCCATTCAAGGGCAAAGCAAAATAAGGGAGGACCCAAAATGCAGAACAAAAACAGATTTATTTAAAAAGGAACTAAAACAACAAAAACTTAATTCTAAATGTCCAACTCAAAAATCCAAAATCCAAAAACCATCAGTATAAGGTAGAGATACATGCACAATTGCATTAAAATATCCCCTCAGCACTGATAGCTATCTGATCTGCAGGGGTGGAGCAAAGTCGAAGAGTTAGATTTTCCAGTGTGCAACTCAACAACATCAACGTTAAAGACCTTTTCACCGACCGCACCATCTCACTTTTTTGCCTCTTTTTTCAACACCTGAGCTGCTGTATTTGACTCCAGATGAAGAAAGTAAGAACAAGTTTCAGACATGTAAACAAAGACTCTGCCTCTTTTCTCAACAAACAAATCCCATCACATGGATAAAGAAGAGCTTTCATTAATAATCTATATGAAAAAAACACATGGGAGTGGGGAGGGCCCTTTCACATTGGTCTGTTCCAGCATCATTTAGACAGGTTTTTATAAAGACAAATGGAGTGATACTGCTTTTCATGATCTTACAACCCTGCTCTTTACATCTGTAAATTTCTGTTTTTATGTTCTTTGTTGCTGTTTTCAGTTTTTGACTTCTGTTTTGTTTTTACAATAGTTCAGTAGTGATGCTCATATGCATAATTAATATTCATATTATTGTACCCATGTGTCAGACACTAAGTTTCACCTGCTATATTCAACATGTATGTAAAAATACAGTCTACAGGAAGCCAAACAACATCTTGAACAGTGTGCCTGGTGGTCCAGCAGAGGGCGATTCAGAACTATCTGGACTGATCTGGACTGACCCAACATTAAACTGATCTAGCAAAACTGTGCTGTTTAAAATGAATGAATTTAGGAAGTAGGATTAAGGATTAAGGATTAAAATGACCTTTGACCTCCTGGAAGCATGCTTCCATTGTCTTCAAGACCTCAGGGTCAGTCCTTTGAGGGCATGTGACATCAGTGTGGCTTACCATCTAGAGAATTTATGCATGCACACCATAGACTGTGCAGTCTATGATGCACACACACATTAGAGGTGCACAACTGTACTACAAATGTATTTGTATTTGTATTTGTTGTGTGAGAGGAAAGCTTGGGGCTCCTCCTCTCTGGTTTGGTCAAGACCCTGTTCGTCATCTGTACTGATTTCTACCATAAAGACGCCAAGTCTGCTCTTCAGATCTCATGCTGTCTCCTGTATATTGTTGTGCTGAGTTGATGTTGATTTTCTACAACAGGAGTAGGCCCCCAGTGTCATGTGTGTGTCATCACACATGGACTGGAACAATCCTGACTTCTTCCCAGATGATGACAGAGGTCAGCTAGTCAGGGACTTGGATGAGTTCAATTATTTTAGTTAACATGCATGCTTTACTTTTCAGTTAAATATGTCCTGCAGTGGCAGAGACACATGCTGTGAATTTCAATTCAATATGACATGCTTTGGCAGAGGACATATTCTTATGTTGTATAATATGCTTTGATTCTGTGCTTTCTATCTTTTATCTCTAAATTTCTGAATCTGAGCATTAGCTGAATTTAATTATCTTTTTTATTTTTTCACAACTTTCAGGCATTTAATAGACTGAATATTTAACACAGGGGTTTGTGAGTATGAGTGCGTGTGTCCTATTCTAGAAAGATCTTTTTACTGACATATTCTGTTAGAATCCGTTGCAGTTGTGTGCTCATACAAAGACACATAAACTGATGCAAACAGCAGGTAACCTCACACAGTGAATTTACTGCCTTATTAAACTCTAAGTAATTTTTCTGTGAATTCTCAGCGTTTTGTTCAAAGTACAGTGAACTTCATTACTGATCAAAGCAGCAGAGCCCGTCTCTGACTGCAGTTATAAAAACATAAATAAAAGTTAGTTGCAGCTCTCAGCACACAGCAAACAGCATATCAGCTTTTGAGAAACCTCTTTATTCTGAATCAGATCAGCCCAGTGGGAGCGGCTGGACATGGGGCGACAGAAAAGGAGGCATACAGGCACAGCTTGTAAAGAACCGTCTGCAAATATAAATAAAAAATAAGGTCTTTTTTTCTTTATGTTACATATCCCTCCAATGAGAGGGGGAACAGGAGGAGAAACAGAAGTTTGTTATGGCACAAAGTTTGAGCTCTCTGACACTGACATCAGACTAAAGGAGAGAGAGAAAATGACAAAAACAACAACCATCTCAAATATGTATATCCTCCCCACAATACTCAATAATAATCACCTTACATGCGCAAAGTTATGACGGATTAAAAAAGTTAAAAGCCTATCATATCATGTCATCAGCTATGATTACTTTGTAAGGATGAATTGAGCTGAATAAGAAAAATCTCCATGACAAAGACAGAGGAGGGCCGGGACGCTGCCCCCCCAGAGTCTCTCAGGGTCAGTCCTCCGTGGTGAGGGCCTCCACTGCCTCCAGGAGGTGCAGGGACAGGCTGTACTGAGCGTGGTTCTCAGGCAGGATCTCGATCAGGCGGCCCACCAGCCTGCTGGTCTGAGGAAGGGGGACCAGTGGACACCGCAGCTCACTGGGGTCCTGAGGCACACAAATACACACAATACTGTACAAGTCAGCTTGGGTTTGTTTGGAGGGGATCTAGGAGTAAGACCTTGTTAGTACTGACTGTGCCGGTGTCAGTCTGTTAAGGAGGTCCAGCCTCTGAAAGTAGTAACAGTGAGTGAGATACCATGAGGAAATCTGCTGACTCACCATAGCCTTGAGCCATGTGCAGAGAGTGGGGGGCAGGCGGGCGAGCAGCTCCATGGCGGCCTGCGTCTGAGTCTGGCTGTGCAGCAATGTGTAGCTCAGTCTCTGACCGGTCAGAACCAACAGCTGGGAACCAAGAACATCCTTATCTTCCACCTCCAGCATCACCTGATGAGAAATGAAGGACCAACTAATAACAGACTTCTCACCCACACTCAAAACAGCCCTTTTCATCAACTCCAAAGCCATAACCATCACAGACTCCTTCAAATTCCTCGGCACAGACATTAGTAATACACTCAAATGGAAGCAACATGCAGATGAAATTTACAAAAAAGCCAATAAAAGACTGTTCTTTTTGCAAAAGCTCAAAAAGTTAAGAGTCAGACACATTATCCTCCTTTAGTTCTACACAGCCATTATTGAGAGTATCCTCACATCATCAATAATAGTCTGCTACGGAAACTTGGACAGTCACTCATGCACAAAACCTCAACGCATTATCAACAGATCATCCAAAATCACTGGCCACACCCATCCATCCATAGAGACTCTGTATCAAAGACAAGTCACAGTGAGCACTGAAAATCACCTCAGACCATACACACCCTGCACACCACCTGTTCACACTCATGCCCTCTGGGAGGCGGTACAGGTCTTTCACAGCTAACCCAGCCAGATTCAAGAATAGTTTCTTCCCCACTGCCATACGGACAATAAACTAATATCTGAAGTAAATTGTATCAACATCTATTATCTTTTATCTTGTATTGTTGCATTGTTTTTTTTATGTCTGCATGTATGTATCCGACACAGGGGATGTGAGCATGATGTGCTGTATCGGACAACAAATTCCACCAACCGTGTTGTGTGGCCATTAATAAATGATTCTTATTCTGATTCTGATGCGGTCAGAGCAGATCACTGGACTGAGTTGGTCGTAAAAAAAACTCCTGTTCTCCCTGTACCTCTTCAGCACGGAGGTCCAGGCCTTGGTTGTAGAGCTCGCAGACCAGGTGCCGTCTCAGGATGTCGGGGTTGACCTGCAGCAGGGTGCCCAGCTCCTGACACAGAGAGGGCCACCAGTCAGCCTTTGGGCCACTTGAAGGTAGAGGAGGGGGCCCAGAACCAGGGGCTGAGCTGGAGGGATCATCTATGGCCTGAACCCAGCCGGTGAGCACCCGCAGGAGGAACTGAGAGATGAAATCAGACGGAGTGAGAGACATAAAAAGAACTTCTTCTTCAGGGAGCTTCATTTTGTTGTCATTTCACCTCTTGTCTTAGAGCGACGAGGCTGGGGTCCATGTCCCCACTGGGCATCAACTGGATGGTGGTCAGGTCTCTGAAGAAAGCATTCTTACCCTGAAACAAGAGAGGAGAGAGGAGAGAGGTGTAGGGTTTGCATTACTGCTGCAGCTCCAATTTGCTGCAAACAGGATTCACCTCACTGCCGACATGCGCATCACTCACACACACACTCGCACATGTGAGTGTGTGTGTGTGTTTGTGTCTTCTCACCTTACTGTCAAACAGGCTGAGCGGTTTCACCTTCACACTGAAGGTCATAGCAGCATGAAGCAGGGACGCTAACAGGCAGTGGTGTTGTACTAGTGGGTAGTGGACCCCTCTCTGCTCCAGGGCCAGTTCAGCTATAGAGGCAGGACCCTCGGCCCCACACCACACCTCCTCCATGGACAGCTCCGGAGCAGAGACCTCCTCCACCGCTGAGTCAGCCTGATGCAGCAGTAAGGAAGAAGAAGAGGAGATAAGGCTGTGAGCTGAAAAGAGCAAACCTCCAATTTGAGCCCATGGTTGGTGTTGAGGGTGCAGATGCACATGCACAAACGTTAAAGTTGCCCTCCAGGGAACAAGTTTGTTTTGTGTTCGTTCATTCAGATGCTTATGCTTCTCATAAAGGGCTATTCCAGTATTTTTTTATCTGGGCCTTTTTTTCATGCATATTTTGGTTTCTAAATGACTTGATGATGCAGTAAGTTTGAAATTACAGGAACAGATTGCTTTGGCTATAATGACTGTAACTTCATGTGTTAAGGCACACGTCTCCTGCTAAGCTAACATCCTTTCAAATACTTGTTTTTGCCCAACATGCTGATTTTGACAGCGAGGACTGCTATGGATAAGAATGTTTTTAACTTTAAACACTTAATGTACTGATCTACTTCTTAATCAACATTATAGGGGTGGTGAAACCTTATCAGACACAAACCCTTCTGGTGACCTTTGGTACTGCTTTCATAAATCTTGAACCGTGTCTGGAGGGGATCTTTAAGGAAGCTGCTTAGCCAGTGTATCAAATGCATATGTGTGGTTAGTAGCAGTACGTTTCTCCATGCTCTTTTAAGGGTCTCTTTACTTACATAGTAATTTATAAAAGACAAAGGGGACTGATTTTTAACCAATACTCCAGTCACCTCCATGAGGATCTGCAGCAGCTGCACACAGCAGCCCAGGAAAGATGTAACGGCTTTGTCTCCCATCCCCACATCCTGCACAAACAAACACACCTTCAATATTCGAAGCTTTCACCTTGAATAACTTTCACATGAAAATGAATGAAGATGTTTTTGAGACACTTACCCTTCGACACAAGCGATCTTTAGGAGCTTTTCCCACCTGGTGAAAAGAAATAGGAGTATTTAATTTGTTGAATCATAGACTGAACAACATTTCCCTTCTGAACAGGAGTTACCTTTTCTATGAGGTAGGCTGCTGATGAGAAACGCTTCACAATGAACGTATTCCACATCATTGTAGAAATACCTGTAAGAAGATTCAAAGACGTCCAGAGTCAAACATAGTAAAGCCAATGGTTAAAACACCACAGACATCAAATCACTTTCAAACCACCCCGATCTTTGTATCAAAGGGATATTCCAGCGTAAAATTAGGTTATGGTCAAACACACTGTAACACAGAGTTAGACACCCCCTCAAGAGGTGAATGTTGCCGTCTGCTTGCTTCTCTTGTTATACCAACTTCCACAGCACTAGCCACCAAACATCTTTTTAGCTTTGCCTGATTTCTTTAGCAAAGAGACAAAACACAACTCACCCACTCTTCCAGCGGCTGCTTGTTTGTGGGGGAACCCTGATGAATCGAGTGGAGTTTCGCAGCTCAAGGAAGAACATTTATGATTATTACTTCATGGAAATGCAATCAGGGTTCTTGTATATCTTGTATATGCACTGCAGATACGGTAGTTCATCCTTAGTGTCTTGGTCTGATTGCATTTCCATGAATTAATAATCATAAATTTTCTGCTGCACCCGGTGATCGACTTGTCAGGGCTCCCCCACAAACAAGCAGCTGCTGGAGGAGAGTGGGTGAGTTGTGTTTAGTCTCTTTGCTAAAGAAACCGGGCAACACTAAAGAGATGTTTGATGGCTAGTACTATGGTTAGGACCCTACATATACTGTTGATGAAGTTAGGTGCTGTTCTGAGCATTATTTGTGGCTTTAAAGTGGCTTTTTGGTTGAGGTTTGTGCATGGAGTGATAGACCGCTGTGTATTGCTATCCTGCAGTCGTTACTAAAGTTGGTATAACTAGAGAAGTAAGCAGTCGGCACAATTCATCTCTCAAGGGGGAGTCTAACTTGGTGTTACAGTGTGTTTGACCCTAACTTAGATTTACGCCGGAATATCCCTGTAAAGAACTGAATGAAAACAGAGAAAAGATATTCAATATTCAAAATATTCAATTGATTAGTTACCTGAAGAGGCAAAAGTTCTGACAACATTTTTAAATTCACAATAAATCCTGAGAATTAGTTTTTAAAGTGCTGAATCATCTCTGGAACAATATCACTATTTTAATTTTGAAACAGACAGTTCTTGTCAACACTGGTCTGTTGTGACAAGCGTGTTAAAAAGCTGATCCACAGGGTCCCCTCACCGAGTTGGATGTGTGGACTGGAGACCAGCTTCAGGTGTTCCACAGCCCAGCATAAGTACCGGCCCTCCTGTGAAGAACAACAGGTGTGAGAATAGGGGCCTGGCTCTCAGGCCAAGGGTTTAAGTCCTGTCCCTCTTTTAACAGGACTTTGTGATACTGGGCAGAAATATGAAAATAGCAGATGCACCTATCTCTGCTATAGATTTAAAAGAGCACTCTACTTCCTTTGAGGTTGAACCAGAAAAGTTTGTGTTTTTGTGTGTGTGTGTGTGTGTGTGTGTGTGTGTGTGTGTGTGTGTGTGTGTGTGTGTGTGTGTGTGTGTGTGTGTGTGTGTGGGTAGGTAGGTAAGTGTGAACCTCAGGGTCTTTGTTCCACTGCACCACATACTCCCAGCAGCAATGAGCAAAGAGCAGGTCAGGTGAGAGGGAATGTGGGAACCGCTGACACACAGCCACCAACAGCTCTGCAAAACCCAACAGACAGAGTAACATAGAGGCTACATGAACATAACAGTCCAATAATCCACTCGCTCCATGTATACCCAGACTACTTTGCAGCAGCTGAATAATGCATGACTGAGCTCTGACCTGCTGTCCTGTCTGTGTTTTCCTCCTCTACGTCTTCTGCTTTCTGCTCCGGTTGGTCCTCTTCTTTGTCTTCTCTCTTCAGAAGAATTTCCTTCAGTCTCTCCGGGGGTAAGTTGTGCCTGAACACCCACTTAGAGACACTGTCTGCAATGCCACCTATCATATAAACAGAAACCATGTTAAACACGTGAGAAGTCCTGATTCAGATTATGAATACTCAAGAGGAAGAACAAGAAGACACAAATGGAAGTGGTCAAAAGAGTCTGGACCAGAAAGTATTGCTGTACATGTTAGTAAGAACTCTTGATGACATTATTAGGCTCACCTGCACCTCCCTCAAGCAGAGTTTTTATGGAGCACTGAGCTACAGCGCCCCCTGCAGCCCCCTGAGGAGGTGGTGCCGACAACAGTGTCTGCAGCACCAGTACATCCTCCAGCTGGCGTACACACACCACCCACTGCTCCAGCTCTAACGACACGGCCTCCCACTCTGACTGCAACTGTAGAACATGCAACATTTCAGTTGTGTTTAATAACTTTAGCGTGTGTTTCTGCACTTATGTGTGTGATGACTCTCTACCTTGCTGTCAGCCAGGCTAGTGATGCTGGCCTTTGCTGCACGGTGAGCGACAAAAGCTGCCAGCAGAGCAGCAGCAGCATTGTGAGACTGGATACATGTGGAGCGGACTTGTTGCCACCAGGGGGAGATAGACTGGGGGTCCCATGACTCCTCAACTGCGCCTGGAGGCAGAAGAAGATCAGCAAACGCTGTTTTGGATTGTTTGATTAGTTGACAGACTTAAACTTCTGCACACAGGGGACAGGAAAGCAAACCTTTCATGTTGCTGAGGGCGATGAGTAGAGTGTGAAGGTTTCTGACAGTTTCCTCTGGTTTTTGAAGGACCTCTTTTTCTCTTTGCAACCACACGCTCAACAACAGAGACTGAAAATAGGAAGGAAATATGAAATTATAGTACAGCCTTAACCTGAGTCTGTGGAATAAGTGCCAACAAAATGTCAACAAAGGCCTTAAAAACTACAATTATGTGGAAAGATTATCACAAACCTATTTGTGCTTCAATAAAGTACATTTAAGAAAAATAAGAAGAAAAGTGCCAAGCAGGTGCAAACTTATCCACTGGTCTGAGGTCATTTGGGTCCTTGGTTTTATATCATTTTCCCTGTTATTCACTTCAGTCTAACAACTCTCACACAGCTGATCTCAAAATGAACCTGGTCTTACTTTTTTACTGTCCTATTAATCAGACCGTCTTCCATCTTACCAGTAGCTGCTGAGGACTGATGCCAGCCTGCTGGAGTGTGTCACAGACTTTATGAAGAGGACTTTTTCCACACAGACAACCCCAGAAGAGAAAGTTTCCTGTAAAGGACACACAAGAGCACAAGAGTCCTCATACTGGGTTTCTGCTTTGCTTTAATACTCACAAACTGAATGTGTGCCCTGAGCTGGGACTATCCACATGCTATGTAAATTTTACCACTGCTAGGTTCTGATGTGACTCGATATGATCAAATGGTTCTGATCAGGCTCACTGGGTGAACATTTAAGTGTGAATACACGTTTTCATACCTAGTTGATTCCATTCAGTTTCAGACCCACGGATCACCTTTAGCTCCCCGTCCTCGGTGCACTCCATCTGGGAGAGAAAGGCTTGTGCAGGTAGGGGAGCGTCAGGTGAGTCCTGTGCAAAAGAAACACTGGGTCTGGATGTGAGCTGGGCGTAGCGTTGTAGGGTGGGGCCGACACGAGACAGTTCCTCCTCTATGCCATCAAGGGAGTCCTGGTGGAGGGACAACAGCAGGATTTGTGGTAAAGTTTGGAGGACAAACGATGAGGATCATCTGTTGGCTTTGCTTCAACCCTTAGCAGCAACATTAGCTGAAAAATGCTTGTGTGTGTTTAAATGTGTGTGTGTGTGTGTGTGTGTGTGTGTGTGTGTGTGTGTGTGTGTGTGTGTGTGTGTGTGTGTGTGTGTGTGTGTGTGTGTGTATGAGCTTACATCTTTCGAGCAGGCCTCTGTGTCTGCAGCAGCGTGCAGCTGTTTGATATCTGTGTGGAGGTGAAGTAGTTTTAGCTGTGAAGAGCACAGCTGCAGTAATCCTGGATCCACTTCCTCCTGGTCTGATTCACAAATTCAGAAACATGAGGAAAGGACAAAAGGACTGAGACACAGAACATGGATAGTCCTGTAGACGTGCAGAACAATTTTAGATTAGACACCAGTTCAGTACATGACCTTCTCCTTTCATTATTTCTAAGGAGACTTCAGTAAATTTGAACCCGAGCATTTTATTGACCTCTTTTAATGAGTAGTTTTAAGCTGCCATGCTAGGATAGGCTAACTTCAATTATGACCCACTTTGCTGAGCTATAACATTCAAACTTGACAGTTTAAACTCCAGCTGTGATCAACAAGGATCAAAGATTTCTGTTTTTTGTTGTGATTACAAGATTCAAGAGTCTGGTGTTCACATATCTGGCGTTCCCATCCAGGTTGCTCTGCCTGGTAAAGCTTGATGTGTTCTGAGCACAGGCTCTACCAAAACTAGTCGAGTGTCTTAAGTGGAGTGCAGAGATTAGTGCTGGGCAATTCATTGAATTTTACTCATGATACACCATACAGCAAGGCATGTAAGTACCTGTGCTGGAAAAAAAACCCTAATACACCCCACGCAAGTGTGTGATGTGTGTGGATCAATAATATGAAGTGAGCGATTGAATCATGGCAGGAAGGCAGCGTTTGGTTGAGAAAAAAGTTAGGACAACTTCAGTTATCTGGAAACATTATGGCTTCAAGTTGACAGAGGTTCAGCAAAAAGAAACTGTTTGCAAAGTTTGTCACGCTGTCGTGTCTGCTCCCCAAGGCAACACGACCAACTTTAAGGTTTCCCCTATATGCGATTAATTGGCGCATCACCATAGCTAAACAAAAGCCGACACACCTTAAAAATGAGGGTTGTTTTTTTCATTTACATGGCTCTAACTCTGAGTCATATCCATAAGTATATGCGCGCGCCACCGCAGTGCATGTACACGCCGAATGTTAGCATAAGTTAGTTATCATCAGCAATCACAGAGCTGGTTAATTTTTATTTTTTACTTGTTTACTTGTTACTAATTCATTTCTGGCTGGTCTTTTAAGTTATATTTAAAGTTAAGTTTTGTTGGTTCAATAAATACTCAAGTTTTGAAATCAATGAATAATCGTGTTTATTAATCGTGATTTCAATATCAGTCAAAATAATCGTGATTATTACTTTTGCCATAATCGTCCAGCCCTAGCAGAGATGCTTTGGGGATAGATCTAAGATGCACCAGTGTATGCTGGGAACATGAGCATAAACTAGAGCGGGTACTGAGCCTCTGTTAAAACTGTAAGATCTGTTTTTGATGTAATCTGAGCCGGTCAGCAGCAAACACGGTCAGATACTTAAATCTGGTGCACTCTGATTAGAGGCATATCCCATTCATGAAAAATGAGTCATAGTTTACTGGCTGAAGCAATTAGATGGAGCTTCTGCAAAACCAACAGGTAAAGAGACACTAACACGTGTAAAAACAGGTTCAACATTTTAAAATGATCCTTTGACAACAAGCTGATATCTAACCTTGCTTCTTTAGTGTGTCATATAAGGCGGATGTGACGCTGGTGAGACATGAAACGGGAGCGTTTCTGTTTGACAGCAGAGACTCTAAAGCCTGAAAAAAAAAGAGAAAACACTGTATTTAGACGTTTTACTTCAGCTGCTACCAAACACTGGCCTCTTAGTCAGTTGAGTTTGTGGAGCAGCTTGTTGAATGTCTGGAGTTTTACCTGCTTTTTGATGGCAGGGTGTTTGATATCCAGCAGCACGCTTTTGGCCTCACTCTCCAAAACGTCTGAAAAGTTCAAAAACAAATGAATTATCACATCCCTCATGTTACAGGTTTCTCTACACATCAATTTGGCAGGTATCTCTTACCAGGGTCCACCTCTCTGCTCCTCAGTATTGCGCTAAGTCTCTTGAAAAGGTGCATATCTTTGGCTCGCTCACTCTTCTTGTCACTGAAATAGGAAGGGGACTGAATCACACCCTCATTTCACCAAGTTTTACAGTAGTTGTTCTGCATCACAGAAATCATAAGGATCTACTTTGAAGATGATGGACAGGCTTAAAACATCCCTGAGGGTCTAACACCGGTCTAGACTCTCTTTGAGGTTGTACCTGAGGGCCAGGTGGAAAGGGATGTTCACTGTCCTCAGCGCTCCTGTGATGGGATCCATCAGACACACCTGCTGAGTGTGCAGCTGCCAGCCCTGACTGGTCACACTGTTCACCCCCAACAGGCGGTAACCAGCATACAACAACCTGAAACACAGAAAACACAAACACACACATGCATTATTATGTGTTATTCTCCAGTTTGTCAATCAACAGGTGTGCAGTTTATGCAGCTGTGGTGCATGGATTATGAAAATGTTGAGAGAACTGTTCATACCTGCAGTGCTTGCCCACAGTGAAAGCTCCAACTCGAGGTCCCTGCTGCATGGCCCACACCTCTAGGATCCCCCTGCGAGGGGCGTAGATGACCAGGAACAGAGCGTGGCGTCTGGGGAGGGAGGCAGACGGGGAGAACTCTCGATCACCCCTCTCCTCTGGGACCTGCAGCCAACCGAGCTGGGCATCTCTGTAACCTGCAGAAAATTAGTTCAAGATGAGCCAAACAAGTTGGTATTAAGAGGACTGACTATCAAACAGAAAGCATGTCAAAGTTTAGTGTTTGGTTCTTTTCAAATCACATCAGTATCAGAGGGATTTAAAGGCTCTACTTTTCCATACTTGAACTCTTCGGAAAGATCCCTTCACAAATCCTCCCTCTTTCCCTCACCTTTCCACATGCGGACAGCAATACCCCGGGCCAAATCCAGCAGAGTGACTCGGCCGAAGTCATCCGTCACTCCTGCCAGGGTGTTACAGGGAGACAAACAGATGGACTCCCCATGGCGACGAGAGTCTGGGAGACCAAACCTAGAAAACAGGAGGAGGGAAAACATCTATGTGAGACAACAAAACACTGAGAAGCTCAGTATTACCTGTATAATAACATAAAAGGTTAACTACAATTGTGTTGTGAGATAATAATTTGTACCTAATAGCTAAAGGCGTAGCCGGCTCCACCTTTGGTTTCTGCTTCTGAACCGCCTCCTCTTCATTCTTACTCTTGTTCCAACCAAGCCATCCACTGAAAGTGTAATGATGGAAAATAAGCACAGAGAAAGTGGGAGATGTAAATAAGAGGATGAATCTTTGTAAAGAAAGAATCAAACAAAACTGAAGTGCCTGAAAGTACAATTAAAGAGAAGGAACAGCTGACTAAACACACCAAAAAAAAGGACTGAGAGAAGACCTGAACAATGATCAGTTTACTGCCCTGAATGGATGAAGCTGACCTGACCAGAGAAGCTTATTCAGAGGCTGTTACAACAAAAGTCTGAAACACACACACGCACACACACACAGACACACACAGACACACGCACACACACACGCACGCACACACACACGCACGCACGCACGCACGCACACACACACACACACACACACACACACACACGGATGAGTGTGACAAACCACATGAGACAAACCTACTCTCCTTTTAAACAGTTGGTTGTTTGTCTTCTTATTCCATTTATTTTGCCATATCTTCAGTATGTTGGCCGTCTTAAACAGGTTACAATGCATTTTGAAACTTGAGCTTCCTTCTTTAGGGTCCTTCGATATTTCTGGTCAAACAGACTGTACTGGCTGTACTGAAATCCTTTACCTCATTGAAGTACATCCAGTCAAAGTGCTTGTTTTTGCCTTTGACAGGATAAGACTGTTATTAAAATGTATCTGATAAGAGTCAGGACTCAGAAAACAAGTGTATTAGATGACCTTTAACAAGACCGTTTTTGACTTCACCAGATTTGTTCAAATATACAAGAGTCTGGGGACCCCAAACGCTGGATTCTTACCTTACAAGGCCGTTCTTTTATTTATTTCTATTTACCACAGATATAGTTTGTGTTTGATTGAAGTTTGTCCATTGAAGGACAAGAGCCAAACAACATCTTTGCTCTGCAAAACATAGTTCCCACTCCTGTCAGTGGAGTCTGGTGAAGTGTTGGAGCGGTGTCAAAATATTTTTTTCCTCACAGAGCAACAAAACATCTTTCTGGGTAGGAATCATTTCTGTTTTTTTCTAAAAAAAAGTCAGAGCCTGTTTGTGGCATGATGATTATATGCTGCAGCCATTACAGGCTGTTTCAAAGCTGGTAGACAAGGCAAACAGCTGGAGAAGAACTTCATGCTCATACACACACAGAAGCTTGTTTTTTCCACACACACACAGAGACACACACCTGGCCGCGCTGAAGAGGGCTGAGGTGAGTTTACTGGCTACAGCCAGAGCCACATGAGAGAGGAGAGGCTGAGAGCTTCCCTGAAGACAAACACAGAGACAGTCAGTCTTCAAGAAAAAGAAACAGATAGATATGGTACATCCCTGTCACACACTCACCTCGACAGCATAGAAAAAGCCTGTGTATGGCCCACCTCCCACTGTGACATACTGACTCATGGCTGGGGGGCTGCCCTTGACTGAAGCATTAAACCCCCCCAGAATAGAAGCATTCTTCATCTGGTCAAAGACACACAGCGTCATGATACCTGAGAGCAGGAGAGGTAAAGAGAGTGGACATGAAACAGCAAGAAGAGCTCTTTACCCTATAGATGAACTGATCTGATTTAATATTAAATGAACAAAATGAAAAAACTTTTTTTGAATTTTCTTCTTTTCAAATTTCTCAAAGGTTCCTGTTGAGAGAATATTGTTTGTATAGCCTTGTTGTGCACAGGACCAGCATTAGCAGGGGACTGGTAGCATTAAAGTGGTCATTAAATAACATCATGCAAAACAAAGAATTTATACTTAGGCAAAACAGCATCCCCGTGGCCGTTATTTCTGTGCTACTTTTTCACTAAGATTTCTGAAGCTGTTCTGCCTGTTTTCAGTCACTTTTAAACAGTTTTGACAGATGTTTATGGTGCTAATTCAGAGGGCTCATCTGTCTACACAGCAGGGATACAGATTCACATGAAGAATTAGGCTAAAATCCATCAGAGAGAGAAATCTCAGACCATTACATGGATGGTGGAAGCTGTGGGGTGGGATGTTTAATTTAAGGTGGGCTTGAACAGGTAACATGAGGCAGTGAATGTCTCATTAAGCCTGTCCATGTCGGTGGGAAAGTGTCTTTAAATCCATGCAAAAAAAATACAGTTTTATGTGCTGCATGACATACACCCATGGAGTGGTTTGTAAAATAACACCCTTATAACTGCCCTACTGCTTATTTAATCAATAATTCTATTGAAGTCTTGTTGTTATGGTTTGACTTTTGATTAAGATATCAACAACAAAAACCTTCTCAGCCTTTTTATCTGACTAGACACATAAATACAATGACCATCAGGGATGATAAAGGCATCCTCCATCCTTGACCTTACCCACACTACTGTGGTCCACAATGGTGCCCATGTCCTGCAGACCCCACTTCTTATAGGCCAGGGGAGGAGGCTGGATCACATCACTCCCTGCAGCTGCAGCTAGATAGAGAAGATAACCAGTGCATTATCTGACCACAAAAATAAGTGATTTGCCACCATGGATTGTCAACTGGTAAGCTAGCCTCACATCAAGCAACACCTACAACTAAGGCACTATAATGTTAACAAAGCTGCTGCAGGCCACAAACCACATACACAAATTCAGCTTTACTGTCGCACACAGGCACTCCAGATTAAACTGCTGAAGCTTTACTGCTAACCCTCTAAAGTCTCTGTCTGCTAGTGGTGCAGACATTTTCATTTGAGTACCTGTATGTCCTGAGGCAACCTCTGTCCACCCAACCAGCAGGTGAAGAACACATCTCTAGTTAACACACTGAATCCCTCTTTAAAATTCAATCCCAGCCCCGAAAAGATACCCCTCAAACATCTTTAAATACTGTGAAAACTTACAACTGAGTGCACATATACTACTAAACTCAAGCAGCAGTACCTCTTGCAACCTGGTTCCTGCAGGCACGCAGAGACTGGAAGAGGCTGAATCCATCGATGGTAACCAAGGCAGCAGGGTAGAGGATGCTTAACTCTTCATGCTGTGATACAACAAAATCAGACACTTTCAGGTGCTCAAGGTAGGGAGTGAATTTTGTGGTTGGGATACTTATCCTCATTTCTGAAAATAAACGCACACATCATTTTTGAAGCTACTTACTTCTTTACTAGTTTGGAGTTATGTAAAATATTGATGTTGTAAGCTTAGTTTAGGATCAGGGACAATAAAAGCCTGCCTGTTACTGTCCAAAGATAGCAAAACTGACTCATCACCTCCTCTAAACTCATTAAAGGAGAAATGCAGCCTTTCTGCCTCTGCCAGTCAGTTATGACTGTTTTCAAAAGAATAGCAGCGAACCAGGAGGAAATGTTCATGTCATCATAACAGAGGGTTTTACTCTCTACATATTTCCTTGCAGATGTAATGTAATGTATCATTCTGAAAAACATACATGTAAGCATGGAGTGGTTCTCTTACATTGGTTAAAACTTTTACGTTCAGACCAATCACGTTGACTCTGACATCCAGATTCTGATTCATTTTATCCTTGACTTCAAGTCCATGTTAAATCCAAACTTTTAAGTCCAGACGAAAAACTCTAAAACATGAGGCCTCTTCAGGCAGGATAAAACCAGTTCTAGCTTTTCGATTTATATCAGTGACAAGTTTAAAGGTAAACTATTTCCTAGAAGTCTAACTGGGTCCTTCCATGGTTATGCTGTTAAACAGCTGCTGGCTTCATGTTAGTATGGTCACTGTAGATATGAGTGTTAACAACCTCCCTCTCTGACTCTCAGGGGTGAGTTTTCAAATAACATGAGACTACTCCTTTAAATGTATTGTCCATATAATTCCCAGCAGTTTTCAGTGTACATTACCTGCTCAGTTACTCCAGGATGACGAGGGATCTCATATGTGCGACACTTGAGCCTCAGCACAGGGTCCTCGTGTAGCAGCTGGGCCAGGAGCAGAACTCCGTTCTGACGAGAAACAATAGATACAAAACCATCAGCTCTTTTTTTACATCCTACTGGGGAGTTTCATTTCCTGCTGATTATCTGATTATCATCAGACAAAGAAATCTTTACAGAGAACAAAAGAGAGGTATGATGTTTGAAACTGATGGAGTACCTCTGTGTAGAAGCGGACATATCCAGAAGTAAAACCCACAACGACACATGTCCAGTCAGGCCGCCCAGTGGAGCTCCTGCCAAAACATACATGTGACTATAAAGCACTTTGACACACACTTGCAAACATGCATCTCTACCTCTATAGCTCTCAATTATTTTTTCAGCATAGGTGATTCTTACCTCTTCTGGCTTGCCAGTGGTATACAGATGGAGCTGCTCACACACTCTCTGTGATAAGAAGAAAAACATTTAGTCGATTGTATGACTGAGTGCACTTTACAGCTCCCTCTCTGCACATTTACCCACTCATTTCAAGGATACACAACTGTTATCAAGTGAATGTGACAACAACTGGTCAGTTTGCAGTTTTAGTGCTGCATGTTGCACTTTTTATGACCTTAAATAAAACAGTAGATGACTACTGGCATAGAGGAAAGCTTGTGTAAATGTAAGCGGCACAAAAGTAAAGGTGAAAATGAACTCCAAATATTAGCAGATGCTGACTATAAAGAATATAAAAAAGATAAAACTCATGTTAGTTAGTTTCAAAATGTTAATACTAGATGTAAAGCTGCTAGCAACACATGTCTAAGCCAACCAAGACAGTGTTTAAGAGACACTAATCTTTGATATTAAGGCTGCTTTAAACGTTATTTATCAACAATATCCAATTATTTTCTTTTTTACTTTTCTTTTTTTTTTGCTGTAAAAAAATAAAATAAAAACACAAAAAACATCTGATAACAAAAAAAGGTGACATCCAAATTATTCATAATCATAATAATAAGTAATAAGATCAACACAAAGATAGGTTGAATACTCAACAATAGCAATACAATTACTCAGTTACAACAATGACTCAACCAAGACAAGCAAGTCTGATCATCTCTAACTTTAAAAATCTGCTCAAATGTTCACATTAGAGAAGTTTGATAAAAAAATCTGTGGAGTTTAACTCATGAGCTTTCTGGTTTCTTGTGCTCTCTGCTTCATCAGGATACTTCTTGAATTAATAATATTACTAAAGCCCCTTTAAGGATTTTTTGATGTTTATGAAATTCATGTTGCTGCCTTTTCATGTTCTCCAAAAGCAAACAAGCCCATCAGGGATGAGACTGATAGTCTGTTTATTATCAAGCCCATGTGATGTGGTATGATTCTGCAGAGCAGCTCAAGAGATAGCTCTGCTTTTCACATGGAGTCGTCAGGGTGAGATTATTTGTTAGAAGACACAATTAAGCATGTAAAGGACAAGACAAGCAAAGATAACTTTGACACAGACCAAAGATTTCTCACAGGAGCTTTTAAAAGTCTGCAAATGGAATAAACAGCAGTGTCATTCCCTCTGACTCTCACCCTTCGTCAGTGCTGAGGGTTCCAGTCCAGGACACAGACAGAGTCATCTCCTCTTTGCCACTGTTGTCAGAGCGCCACTTTGCTGTGAGAGCCGAGCAACAGAAATGTACATGAAAAACCTCTTTGTATATTTAAATATAATTTTGTACATGTGCCTGAGAATCTGACCTGAGAGAAAAACCGCCTTCTGTTCCCGAGCCACTACAAGCAAGTCGGCACAGGGTGAGAGAGCCACTACACAGTCCTGCAGCCAGGGTGCACTCTGCCCTGTAGCTTCCTCCTCCACCTGCTGTTTGAAAAACAAGTCAGATTGATAACGGCATTAGTTTTTCAGCAATATCATAGAATATTATTATCATAATTCCTTTCTTTTTTTTTATCTAGGGTAGCTTTGCATCTCGAGACACTAATTGCAGAATACTCATCATGCAAACAAGGATCATGAAAAAAAAAGGACTGACTGTGTTGGCAGACGGAGGTTCCCCCTCTGTTTTTTCACCACTGTCCCATGCCGACTCCCAATCAGAGGTGTCCCAGGACAGCTCATTTTCTATCAGTGACAAATGAAACAGAGAAATTCAATTAGTTTGAATTTCAGGCATAATACGAGCATGACTGAGCACTTCCAAAAGGGTTTATCATGTTTCTAATAACATGACAGTGGACATATTTTTGGAAAGTGACTGTGTATGTTGGCGTTGAAACCAGCTCCTTAAAGTCTGCTGATACACAACCGAAGCATAAAACACAAAACTGGAGGGGTAGGACAGGCAGGGTGTGGGCGGTGGACTAAGTGACGCAGGAAGTAGCAAATCCCAGCTGAAATCCTGTTGCTATGAACATTCAACAACCTATTATGTCATTCTGCAGAGTGTGAATGTGTGTGGGGGTTAATGTTGCTTTGCTCAAAGGCTGAGGTGATGACACACTCTGTACATCTGAACGCATCAACGTGAAGTGAGGATGTGAGGCCACTGAGCCTCTATCTGTGTGTGTGTGTGTGTGTGTGTGTGTGTGTGTGTGTGTGTGTGTGTGTGTGTGTGTGTGTGTGTGTCTGAGCATCCTGCGGAGATGTGTTCAGGTGTCTGGTGTTGGATGAGTCACAGCACAAAGGGCAGACACATTTTTCATCCTCCCTTCTCAGTCCCCTGCTGATACTGCAGAGCACAGATGAAGCTCTAGTCTTCATTCACTGGCAAAGCTTCAGGAAACATCAAGTGATTTTAATTAACTATCAACACAACCCCAGTATCAAATCAAAACACTACTTATCTCCTGATACTTCACATAAGAGAGCAGATCTGTCCCCCAACCTTTGAAGAAAGCTGTTGGAAGAACTTAAAGATAACCTCACTATGTTCAGCAAACAACACAAGACCTGTGGTTGAGATAAGCTCTGCAAACAACCCTCACTATGACACAATTTTCTAAAGCATATTGAGCACTTTTCTCTGCATGTGTCAAAAAGGCTTTAACATTTAACGTGATGAGTACTCAAAGTGATTGATGATAAGGAAATATTTACATGTATGCATGACTTTACTAAAATACTCAAATACTAGAATTCCTGCAAATAATTGGAAAGTTGTTTGCTGACCAGAAATATCCTCCAAGCTCCCAATCTTTACCCTGTTAAAAAACAGAACAGAACTTTCTCTGCAGTTTTAAAACTTTTACAACTATGAAACCTCCTGTACAAGAAAAAAGTCACAATGGCAGGAGAAAAAACATCTTCATGTTAGGGTTGCACGATTATGACCAGAAATGGTAAACATGACTGTTTTAATCAATATTGAGATCAGGATTATTTATAATTAAGGGATCATCTTGTCCGTCTGTAGTTTATTTTAAAAACATGAATATCCTGTGCCAGTACTGGAGTAAGCCAAACAAATGTATCTACACATCTTGAGTATTTCTCCCAAATTGGTCAAATAGCATCAAAGTTTCACTTTAATAAGGAATTTGACATCATTTTGATTATAATACAGTTACACAGAGACTTTTACTTGTGTTGGGTATTTTTACAGCGTGGTATGAAAAATATCTTAAAAATTATTATATTTTATCAAATTAAAGGTAGCAGATGTAACCCATCACACAGCCTTTATTGAAGCCTTTATCTTGAAAAAGGATCTTAATCTTTGTTAAAATAACCAAGTCTACTTTGTATAAGACCTGTAAGTAATTTAGTTTAGCCACGCTATTGTTAGATCATTAAAGCTCATTACTGCTGCAGCTTTTTTCTTTGTGCTCACTCTTCTCCTCTGCTTTAATAAAACACGCGATCCTTTAGCGACAAATCTAATCGACAAGGGGATCACCTGTCATTGAGGCATCATGAAGAGGTTTCTTTGGATGGAGCGAGCATATTTTAACATCAGTATTCGTCATCGGTCATAATTTTTTAATCACAGGCAGCACACACTTGTGATCATGATTAAACTTGGTGTAACTGTGCAGCCCGACCTTGGACAAAAGTTACTGTCATTACAGGGATAATTAAGAGTGCCATTACAGTAGGGCTGGGCGATAAAACGATACCGATATATATCGAAAATTAATTTCCCTCAATATCAATATAAAACCTGGTCAATATGCTCTGCAATAGTCCGCATTCTGCCATGTTTAAGTAGACTACACGAATAGCTAATGAAAGGGGCAGTCACTCCGGGTCCGCTTCGTGCTGAACCAATCATGTGCTGAATTAAAACCAAGTAGCAAACAACTGCGCAGTAGCAGGCTGCAGCTTCATGCAACCATAGAATTTTAACACGTGAAAGACAGTACTGTCAGTGAGAAAAAAGAAAATGAGCGCTACCCCCGGCAGAAATGCAGATGAAGGCTCAACTGATGATGACATCGTTGTCAAAACTGGCACAAAACATCGGTGGTGTGGAGGTATTTTGTTTTTTTGAGGTTGGTAATGAAGCAGAGTAAAGTGCACTGCAAATTATGTCAAGTACATGATCTCGCAAAGTCAGGGAATACCTCAAATCTTTTTCACCACTTGAAGTGGTGCAACGCAGCAGAGCACGCTCAATGCAAAAGGTTACAAACCCTGAGTGGAGCAAAGAGCCCATCGTGCCTGTGCAGCCGAAACAGCTGACCATTCAGTTGGCTTTCTCTTACGCAATGCCATATGACAAAATGTCAAAGATATCATATGTTGATATCACCTGATATGAAAAAAACATATCGTGATAAACTTTTTCCCATATCGCCTCGCCCAGCCCTACATTACAGTTTATGTCAAACGCAAATACAAAATAGATATGAAACATTGCTTTACAAAGAAATAATAGCAGACTCTGACTGGATAGATCTTTTACTAAATCAACTCAAATACAATAACATTATAGAGGAAATGTCTGAGTTTGTTAGTCAAATGTGTATTTCTCCTGTTTTTGGTCACAGGCACGCTGAAAGACACTCAGATTTTTGTGTTTTTTTTTCCTTCATTGATGCTCAATTTTGATCCAGTAATATATGTTTTTAATTGTAGAATGAAATAACTTGTTTTAGAAGTTATTTTGGCCTTTTTAGGTCCTCCCTGCCAAGTCTCCCGTTTGAAGAAAGAAAGAAAGAAACTGGCGATAAAGAGACCACATTTAAGTTTACCAGCTGCATTAATGTTAATAATCTGACTGTAACATGTATACAGGTGTGCATGTACACTTTTTCTCTCAAAACTAGATCTTGCTGGTTCACCCAGTCGCTAAAAGGACTCTGTTTAACAGCCTGATCCAGTTTTTACCTGTCTGGTTCTTCTCCTCAGCTGGTTCATTTTGCTGACTGGTGAACAGATAATCCCGGACCGTTTTCAGCTCCTGGAGCCGACAAAACTCCAATAAGCTGCAGGACATGTCTCTGCCGTCCCAACAGGACTCAGGTACGACACGAATAAGCCAGTTAGCCTGCCCTGCTAACAGTCCTGCTAAGAGAGCTCAGCAGTTTGAGTCGGTTTGCAAGTCCCGTTATCGTGTTAACTTGATGACAGCCGGATCACAAAAACAATATGTCAGATCGGTCTTCAATTGTCACCCCCAAAAGAGTCAATGTAGACGTAAAAGTCTTGTTTTTCCCCAATTTGCAGGACGCACCCCTGCCTTGGTCCTGATGAGTCGATGACACACTGTTAGCATAATAACATTGATGCGCTTCCGGGTTGAGATTTTTCAAAATAAAAGACGAGTGAATCACATTTATTTACAAACGGAGACTGAATTTTATTTTAGAATTACTAGATATCCTTTGAACAACTGAACGGAAAAAAACAGCATTTTGAAACCGTGATTATGACATAATTGTCTATTTAATTTAGACAATTTAAAACTGGTAGATTTCATTTCTATGAATTCCTCTTCAGCTTTTTTGGGGAATACTTTTCAATTTTGAGAATAGTTATTCAAGAAAAATAAACAATCTTATGCAAATGAAGACGCTTAAAACAGTGAGTTGAAATAACAAACATGTTTAAAGATATTTATGACATGTTTGAGCCCCTATTGTGTGCCAAAACTCATGCAAAGGATTAGGCTAAGTATTCATAACAAAACACACACCTACTGTATATTTGCATGATGGACAAAAATATTAACTGTAAGCACTCTTTCAAATGCAATGCATGTTTTATTATCTCACTAAATATAATTTAGTACAGGCAGGCACAGAGGCCTACCAGTTTAAGAACTAAGTTGTATATAATAGGTAGGCTCACATTGGATTTGGATTGGATTTAGGACTATTTCGGTATAATATGACTGAAAGGGTGTAGGCAGAAGCAAGATCTACCCCTTATACTATACATCGAGTATATTATACAGATACACTCTTCATACAAATATCAACACTTCAATATATATTCACTTTCCCATGTAAATGTGTATTAGTAAAGGTTTTTCACTAGGAGGCAGTAGAGGAACATTTTTTATGGCTGAATCTTCTGATCGACCCCTCTTCCTACCTCTCAAAGTTTCCCCAGCCAGAGCCAGAGTTTTCAGGGAGTTGTCCCTAAACTTGAAGTTATTTTCCGAGTAATTTTTTTTGTTTTTGTGGTCATCCCAACTAAACGAATTTATCTAAATGGCTTTGTGACAGCAGTATTCGGAGTACACTTCATGCATGTTGTATTGGGATGAAGAGTCAAAGAAGTAGGATGAATGAACCCAAAAACTCTGTAACATTGGATTCTGCTCTGTCATTGCACAGGGTCATCACATGGATCAAACTTTATAAGATTTCCTGTTTCTTTCTGTTTTATTCCTTTGAGCCAACCTTAACCTCATGTACTTTAAACATTTCCAGTCATTTTCAGGAACTCCAGGCTGCTGGTTGGCCTCTTGGTTTAAGAGTTCCCCCCATGGGTATAGAGGCTGCAGCAGTGAAGCTGCAGTCGTGACAGAGTTTTTTTACATAACGCTGTAAACGTCCATCAATGACATAACAGGGTTTTGAAGTGTTGTCCCACATTGACGGAAGAAATTTCACCTCTTCTCCCTGGAGTTCATACGTGGGACAAAGCAGTGCTCAAATGCGAGGCGTAGGAGAAAAAAAGGGTTCCTTGCAGCTCTTCAGGGTTTACACCAGTCCCATGATAGAAATGTTATCTACTCCACTGGCTCACTTTGCTGTTAATTTAACCAAATATTACTTGGTGCATTCTCATATCAACTCACCCTGACTTCATGCATGACGAGGAGAGAGGTGGGAAAAACTTGGTGTAAAGTGTAAAAATATAAGCTGTATGTCCAACTCATCTGAGTTTGACGTGTTAATCAAGTTACATGAGTTCTGTGCATGTGTAAAACAGCTTTCTCTCACCACCAAAAGTATGCAAGTTGAAGATTTATCCGTTGATTTTTATTTTAGTTAACTTGACTAAACTTCAGGTTTGTTGTAGCTGTTCTGGGAAAGCTTTCAGGGGATCCAACACAGCACCCAGGCTTGGTGAACCTCCTCAGAGCCATGTATGCAGGGAAAGACAGAAGAGCAAAGAAAACAAGGGGAGGGAAGGAGAGATGCAAAATCAATCAGTTAGACTTTATTAGTTTGGCAGTTTAAATACATCAAAATGTAACAAATCAGAAACTAACGCACTGAAGAACTGAGGAAACACTATCATGAGTTAAAAACGAGGAAACGCTGGAGGTAAAACCTCGGTAAAACCTCAGAAAGATATAAAAAAGACAACTGGATAGGACTGAGAAATCAGCTTAGAAATAAATAAATTGAGATAAGACACAAAGAAAGTTAACATAATAAAAGAATAACATATGGCTGAATAAAGTAGACCACAATTCAGGGTGAAAACATTACAGAATAAAGTAAAAGAAACTGATGAACAGAGTTACCTGAAGAAGATCAAACTCAAAATAAAGTTCTTTAGTTTGCTTTGCTCAAGTCTTTAGGTTCCCAGCTCCTCAGAACTGAAGGCCCTCACAGGATCATATAATAGAAGCAAATCTGATAGATTGGTTGATGTAAGGTTGTCAAAGGCTTTAAAAACTAATAAAAGAACCTTAAAATCTATTCTAAAAGAAACTTAGAGCTGATGCAGAGACTGTAAAATCTGGGTAATGTGGGCTCTCTTCCTGGTCTCACAGCTGAGTTTTGGAGGTGCTGAAGCTGGAGGTGCTACAGTAGGAAAAAACTCCAACTGTACTCTACAGAAGCGTTTTGGTCTTACTTCTGTTACACGTCAAAGAGAAAATCTGAACCATTTGTAATGAGTGAAAACAAAAATAAATCTGCCATTGGAATAAGATAAGATATTTTCCAATTTCAAGAAGCTGCAAAGTTTTTTTTCATCTGCTACTGTCAAATATAATATAATCTTGAAAAAAGACTTTTTATCTCGACAGGTCGGGTGAATATGGCTTAATTTTAATTTTATTTCCATCATCTCCCTGATTTCACCATTAGATGAAAATTGCATCTCTGGCGGGAACCTTTTTGCTTTTTAATACTTTCCAAGATTTATATGATACAATGAAAGCAACATGGGAACAGGTACTGATTGATGTGGCACACAGACTTGTAGTCTGTCCGATTATCTATTATTTTATTTTTTATTATTATTATATCTTAGTGATCTGCCATTGATTTACCACATATTCCTCCAGTGTTCATCCAGTCCTGTCAAACCCTTCTGGGGGGAAACTCAGTTCTGGGGTCAGGAATTCAGAGAAAGATCTTGAATATGTAGTCCTGGCCTGACATTCCCAAATATCGCTCCAGTCTTCCTTAGATATTTTTTGGACAGATGAGTCATTATTAGTCCTAAATTAAGGATACAAGATGTTTGCTGTCTTTGGCTTTATGTGCATTAGTAAAGATACTCCTGAGACAAGGTTCACCGCCCTGTGCTTGTTTAATGTCTTAATTAAAAACGGTCTCTGACCTGAAGGAATCTGAAAAAATCAATTTTAGTAAATTATCTACAAGGAGGACAAAATGTAAACATTAAATAACAAAAGGATGAAATGCAAACTACATTTGAAGACTGTCTCCTCTAAATGATGTGCTGCTGGCTCCTTACTGACTACTGTACATACATCAGTTTGTTCATAGTTCATTTAACACTGTTTTGCTGCCCCACATAGGTGATTTATTACGATGTTCAATGTTCACTGTCAAGGTTCCCAAGGCCGAAACAGTCTGTTCTCCCAAAGAAGCACTTGAACTCTCTTGACCCCACTTATAGTCTCATGTAAGTGGAGTCTTGAGGAGCCACAGGTCAAGGTCCCTACTTTCTCTCAGTGAACATACTGTAACTCCTGTGTTTAACATGACCAGCTGTTTGGAGCATTGTTTAACCCCACTCGCTGTCTTTTTTTTCCCCATCCTCTCCTAGAGTCTTTAAAAAGCAATGGGCAATTTTCCAGTGTACTTCCTGCATCTTCACTAACAATCCCACCTCACATGCATAACACACTCACACACAAACTCACAATACAGTGTATGCACATATAAACAAACACAAACGCAGGCTCACCTCTGGGGGGTACCCAAAAGTTTCCGGACCGGGCCGGACACAGAAACTCAGGAACTAATCGGGTGTCAGAAAGGTCCTTGGGCCCCTCTCCGTCACATTTCCCCGTCCTGTGACTTCGCTTACAGAGCTGTTGTTGCGTAGGCTGTTTTACAGCCCCCAGAAACAAGTCACCATCTGGTTCCCCCTCTTCCTTTGTTGATGAGGAAGTGAGCTGGCATCACTGTGTCCCTGAATGGATCTGTTGTTAGTACACACAGAGATGGCAGAGGTTTTTTCAGGCACACTGAGTAACTTTGAGGAAATCTCTGTGTTGCGTGTTTTTGGATAGTTATCAAAAGAAAGGAATCAGTGATGTGCTCATCAATGAGGCCTTAGGCGGACATGCATCCAGACATTGAATCTACTGGCTTTTCCTTTGAGAATGCCACCAGCAATTTCGCGGGGAAATAGACCTTATATAGGTGCTGTTGTTATTTACTGTAACAGTTTAATATGCTACCAGATTAATGTAACCCCCCCCACCACCACCACCACACATACACACACACACACACACACACACACACACACACACACACACACACACACACACACACACACACACACACACACACACACACACACACACACACACACACAGCATTATCAAGATACGTTAGTCAGACTTTGAGGAGCTGAATTTACTGGATTTCAGGCAGACCAACGTGTTGACATGTTTCAGTCGACCTCACTTAATAAATCTGATCTTCTGAACTCTTAGTAAACATACTGAGTTTTAACCCTTCAGCAGGGAGTGATGGCTGGTTTTGGCCATGTGGGGTACACAACAAGTGGCATCAACAGCTCAAATATTGACATTTAATCAGCAAACCCCAAATACAAGATGATCCAAATATCCTCACAGGTGCATTCAGATGAAAAGACTCTTTGGGTCAACATAGTACTTTGTCCTGTTTTAATGAAATACAATTACTGGCTTTCCTGTTACAGGGAGGATTACTTAGTTTGAGATATTTTCTCAAGATTTCAACTTAAGTGTTATGTCAAACACTTAAAAACCTGAATTAAGCAAAGGGTTGCAGCTTGCTCAGACTCAATGTGTGCTCGCCAACTGGCCTTGCAGAAATCTCTTTACAAGTACCCTCAACATCTGGGGAAACACAAACTTTGAAGGAAGTAGTGTGGTGTAAGAGGACGGAGGTTAGCATGCTGGCTGGTTTCTGGACTCTTTGCACGCCCTGGCTCTCTAAATGGATCGAGCACATGGCCGCACCATCTAAAGAAATCACTGCTAGGGGGGAAATAAGACATTTTCTGACAAGACTCATGTATCATATCTTCAAAAGATCTTTTCTCTCTTACCCTGGCAGTGATTTGGTGTCTTTAGCTTGTGGTGCCTGGCTGTGACTTGCCATTCAACATGCGTGTGTTAAAGTTCAGCAGCACATCACACACAGGTTTCATTTTCCATTTACCGGTTACATTCAGGGTAAAGGAGAGATTTGCAGTCTTACTGTAGACCGTACCCTTCAGTCAGTGCTTAAATGCCCTAAACCTAACCTGTTTTTTTCCCCTTCTATCCTGCAGAGGAATAACTGAAAGACACCGGATTTAGTAATTGAATAATTTCTACCAACAGTCAAAAGTGTTTCACATGGGGAATATTTCCTGCTGAAAATGTAAAGACTATTTTTGCAGCCTGCTGCTCAATCATCTGGCCCACACCTAACCTCAAAACCTCAGAAACCACAGAATTTTGCCTATCAACAGGGGTCCGTCAAGGGTCAGGGGTCAGCCCCCTCCTTTTCTTGATGTACACCATGTCACTCAATACAATAATTCAGTCCTCATGGATCCTCATATCACTGCTATGCAGATGATTCCTGTCATTCCCTCCAGATGACACCACAGTCTCAGCCTGAACCTCATCATGCCTCAGTGATATTTCTAAATGGATGAAGGAACGCCACCTGTCATTCTCTTCTTGTCATTGCAGCCACCACAAATCAAGATCCAGCTTGGATTAAATGAACTTGTGCTCACTAAGTCTACTCAGAATCTGGGTGTCATGATTGATGACCAATTAACCTTTCAGGTTCTTGTTGCCTCAGTTGCTTGGTCCTGCTGTTTCATCCTTTACAACACCAGGAGAATCAGACCCTCCCTGACAGAGCACACAACACAGCTCCTGGCACAGGCTCTTGTATTGTTATGCACTGACAACTGCAACTCCTTACTTGCAGGCCATGATCCAAAATGCAGCAGCTCATCTAAATGCCAATCAACCAAAAAAAAAAAAAAAAACAGAAAAAAAAAGGACGTCACTCTGACCTTTATTTTTATTTTCAATCTTATTCTGAGTTTAATCAAGTGCTTGGTGATGATATAGATACCTTTAAGGCTATAAAAACTTTAATATAGATCCAAAGGTCAACCTGTTGTGTGATAACTCTTTTATGACATATAAAATCTGCTCTCTGAACTCTGCTTTGGAGCTTTCTGAGTGCTAAATGGTGACATTTAGGTTGTTTATCTTTGTGCTAAATGATGCTGCAATGTGTTCAGCTCTGTGTGGTTTTTGGACACGTTTCCTGATCCTATCTGTGGAGCAGAAAACACAGATAATGACAGAGGCTTGTGATCTCTGAGAAACATCTCCTGATTTTCTCATCCTCATCTAATTCAGCTTAAAAAAAAATCCCCTGACCGTGAAAAATTATCACTGCTGACGTTGTAGTAAAATGTGCAAAGTGTGAGCTCTGTGAAACTGAAGACACGAGACTCTCTGATCCTCTTTTCACCTGTGGTTATTGTAAATGAGCGTAAAAGCACTGCAACCACGAAACAAGGCTCAAACTATACAGACAGCCTGGGATCTGAATCAATCCTTTCAGTTCCATCATAGAAGGAGAATGAGACTCGCCAGAGACCAAATGCCAATTTTCACTGTCCTGAAGGCATCTTTAGGACTTTCTTTATTTTGAAGCCAGAGTAGTGCTGTGTTTTTCATGATTAGACTTGCCTCACATGCCCCTCTCCACTGTGACGTTTGGCTTGCAGTAACCCATTTCTGACTACCGTTATTCATTTAACTCCTCCTTGCATGCCAAGCGCAATATTAATTCACTCATATCACTGGCATCTTGTGGGGCAGAGATTATTTCTCTTGACCAATACCCTGCAGCTGCACAGTTTACCCTGAGGTCACATACAGACACATTGCAAAGTTCATGCTCATAAATCAACTGTAATAATCCTGAGTTATTCTGTATAACACGTGAGAGGCCTTGAATTTAAAGCTCCTGTAGGGAGTTTTTTTGACAATCATGAAAGTAGCTGAAATTTCATATAATTTTATTTGTTGCACTCATGTCAATTTTTAAGCATTTCCATAAAAAAACAATAGGCATTTAACAACTGTGGCACAGCACATGATAATGCTGATTATCACCCCCAAGTAATTTTTGGGGGGTGTTTTTTGCCTTAGATGAAAGGATAGTGGAAAGAGAAACAGGATGACATGCAACAAATGGTCATGGCTGGGACTTGAAACCACGACTGCTATGGGATCCAGAGTATGCGGGACGCGCTTACCAGGTAGGCTGTCTTTGTGCCTTGATAATGCTTTTTTAATGACACACAGGGGAAAACAAGACCAGCAGCAACAAGATCGCCCATTTTTGTACAGTGATTTTTAACCCCTGAAATCGGAGGACTGCTTTGTCCACAGGGGGCGCCAAAATTGACACAAACTGGAAGTTCCCTGACAGGAGTCTCTGCTTTGCTTCCACCTACCCCCTCACACCGGTGTATGACTCTAAAATTAGAAAATAAAAAAAAAACAGCCTCTTAATATGTCAATTTCTTGAGAATGTACCTTTAGATACTGTGTGCTTCATGTGTGCTTTATTGAATGTGATTTTATGATAAAGATAGTAAAATGATTAGCCAGCAATATGTTCTCTGTGCCTTGTATTTGCTCTTATTTGATTGAATTTGACACAGACAGCAAACACCGTCAGCAGATCTAGACCTGTTGATTTTGACCTCAACATAAGGACTTTATGTTTGGAACATTATGACATTATTAAAACTAATTAATTCTTATTATATTTTGACTTTATCATCATTTTTACACCCATTAAATTCTGATTTTATTTACCTTAGCATAACAGTTTCATAGTCAAAATCTTTAAAATAGTCATTTCTCAGTAGTGCATAAAATATCATATCTGGATAATTGGCTCTCACTACCTTTATAAATGCAGCTACAGCTTCAAAGTTAGACAACAAAAACAGAGAGAAAACTTAAGTTTGGTCTTTGCTGGTTTATTTTTCCTTGCTTTTGTAATTTCCTTCTGATTTGTCATAAAAAGGCACCAAAGTTTGCTGTGACGCACAATTGTTTACCTTATGTCTCTGTATGTGTTTCTTATTCGTCATTGTACAGGTCAATTAGAAATATGTCTTATATTATACATAAAGTAAGAAAACTGAGGGAATATTGGACTAATTCAATGAAATGACTCATGATAATCATCATTTCTGGGTATGAAAACACTTGACAGTTCAGATTGAGGTGTCTGTGAAAACATTAAAAGAGGGTTGATCTGTGTTTGACAGAAATCCCGCAGTAACAGGAGACATGCTGCTTTCCTCCATCTTCAGCAGATTTTCTCAGTTAGATGTCCTCTTCACCTTGTTTCGGTGACCATCATCGACCTACTTTTCAAAACTTCAAACTTCTTGGACACGTGCTGTTTTGGTCAAACACTGATGAAGAAGGATTAAAGTCTGTTTACATTTTACAGTTTTAATAGAGAATCACATGCCACCTGAGCGAGAGTCAACAACACCAAAACAACATTTCAGAGGAAATCAGAGTACCTGCCCCACTTTTTTTTTAACATGCATATAAATCTTAAGTTAACAAGGGTGAAGTTGTCTTTAAAAACAGCTTACTGTTCTGCATGAGCTACGGTAATCTCGTGCCTTTTTACCAGATAAGGACACGTCAACAGCCCGCTGGCTCCATCTGCGTAGATTAAAATACACCCACACTCCAGTCCACTCCAGTTCGTGATAATCTAACATAAATTGTTGGGTTAACTATTAACAAAGCAGATTTCATATGCACAGCTTTACTGTGATGGTGCAGAAAATTGCACATTGTTTGTTTCACAGGGTTGTTTTTACAACCAGTGTGGCTTAAAGGACTTCTACTCTGTCTGCAGGGCGGTTCGCTCGTCTGACAGAGTGACCTTGAGGTTTGTGTGCACAATGAGCAGTGCCAGATGTCACCATGATGAATGTTTGAATGGGCAAATTCTGCAAAAACACTGAATTAGGGCAGCGACTACCTCAGAGTATTTAGAAGCTTCAGCTTAAAACACAAAGGACCAATTACAGTTATGTCCACTAGGAAGAATTGAGCACAGTGAAGTTCGCAATCAGTTTCTGGTAGTTTTGGCGCTGTGGGCAAGTGCAAGGTCCTGATGGAAATGTAAATCGGTATCTCCATGAAGGTAGACATCCAGGCTTTATTGACTCTGGACTTGATAAAACACAGAAGATGATGTTGCACCCCAAATCGTCTGTGTGAACTTTACACTGGACCTTGATTCTCAAACTATTGGAACTAATGAACTTTTAAAGGACATTCAAGTTTATTGAAAAGCTATCAGCACAAAAATGCAGTGTGCAATAAGGCATAAAGTCAAGCCTAAAAGTCACGTGTGAGACTCTAAAAACTTTAGTAGGACAAAGGGGTTGGATGCAACCATGTTGAACACGTCTGTGCATGCAGAGCCATGATCTTAGCATGTCAATAAGCATATTTATCTGCAGCTGCCAGAACATGCATGAAATACATAAGAAATACAACCAGCCGTCATTTTTATTAAATGTTTATTTACATGAAATATACAGTTTTGTTTGGGATTCATATACAAACTTTGACAAACATGAATAATTTAATCATAAAAAAGACATTTAAAACAACTACAATGGAGTTTTTTTTTACACAATGGAGCAACATTTGAGAAGAACTTGGGACAATGGGTCGAACCAGCCTAACCTGTTGCTACCTAATTATCCAGAAACATGCTTGAAATTCAGTCCGTACAAGTACCGTGGCTGTACATCAGTGTTACACTTGCACATCAGGGAAGGATAATGAAAAGGAGAGAAAGACGGAAATGTTCACTGTAGTGAAAAAAACACAAGAGGAAGAAGGAGAGAATAAAAGCAGCCTGTGTTTAAGTCTCAACTCTAATGTGAGTCATTACATGCACTCTTCATTATTGTGGTATTATACTGGATATCCTCTGTTTTCCAGCAGATTGAAGGCCTTTTAACTTACTGTAGTCACCTGTAAGGCACAAATATTGCACCAACATTATTTAATCTGACTGGCTTCAAAGAGAGACATGTGCTCTTTAATCAAATCTGCAAACACTGCCATCTCACTGTTCAAAGTGACACTGTTTTACACATTTGTGTGCAAGTGAATGCATGCAAAAAGGCAGTGAGTGGTCAGGAAGGATCCTGTTAGAGTGTGGAAAGCTTTGAATGTGATACTTTGGTCCCTCTAGTTTTACAGTTGTGAGTTCATGTGTAAAAAGGAGGCAATACTGCACAGTAAATGGAACCAATACTGATGACACCATGTCTGATTACTTAAACCTACGTCAAGAGAGTATTGATCCGCTCAAAGATAACCCTGCCTGCTTGTTACGAGCGGTAGGTGCTTCAGTCATTCGTGCCAGAGCGAGCCCCCAAAGGCAAACATGAGCAGTAAGGCCACGTCCTGAGCGGAGCCTTGTTTTTGTGGCTACTGATGGGCTGCGAGCCAATATTTACATGGCAAACACAATGAAGTGAAAGGGTGAAAAAGAAAGTGACCGAATGTGAGAATATTGGCGCTGTGAAAGGCGACTTTCCCATTATGCACCGTCATGTTAAGGGAGCCCCAGATGGACTCTTTGAATGCTGCCAGCAGAAGAAAAAACAACCGAGCATGTGTCAGCTGGGCTAGTTTGTATTCTGGAGAGCATCTGTGCCGTCACAATGGTAGTTTCATTTTTTTCATAAAAGTCAAGAAATCTTGGAAGATGGCAGACAAACTTGTTTTGAGAGCAAAGTTTGAAAGTAATCTTCTCAGTGAATACTAATGATATGTTAAGTTTACTCTCAGCTGGTTCTTTAATCCCTGTTGTTGCCTCTGCATCACATATGACCCCTTGTGCCCTCACAATTATATCACTTACAGCCAAAATAAACAGCAATCTAAGACAGAAGATATTTAAGACTTCATACAATCAACAAATGAAATGAAAAGAGGGACGCCTAGCTCTTAAATCCCCCTTTGTTTTCTTTAGGGACAAATGGCTCAGGTTTAAAAGATGCCGAACTGAAACCGGGCTTTAAACCGCTTCTGGATGACTTGTGCAATGGAGGCATATGAACCTACAAAGCCAGTTAATAAAAAGGCTGTTGTGTCCTTCATTTTAAAAATACTATAAAAACACCAATATGGTGAATATGCATGAAGAAACTACAGCAAAACAAACTCTCTCACTCATTATTTCTTCTTAATCAATGAGCAGAAAATAAGCACTTATGGAAAACAGTCATTGGTTTGGAAATGACTAATGTGTGGCAGTTAAGTTTCTCAAAATCGTATAAAAAGTTATAAATAGAGCAGTTGTAAAATACTCATTGGGTTTTATACTTTGCTCATTAATCCATTTCATCTGAAATTTTGTTCAAGAGTTGATAGGAAACATAAAAATACTAAAAGCGATGTAGATTTTCATTTCTTGGCTACGAAAAGAACATTCATTTGAAATTTGATCAAGGCTTCGCAGTCTTTCATTATCAGACCCCCAACAGTGCAAAGGGACAGCTGATATATTCAAACAATTCACATTAGCTAACTTCAAAACAAATCCAGGCACTGAGCAAAGATCAGGAGTCTGTGTTTTCTTCCTTTGCATATTCCTCCACCAGTTTCTCATAGGAGTGGCTGTGCTCTGAACTGTCACTAGTGAACACAGACTCTTCAGATTCAGAGCTGGGCTCTTCTTTTGAGTTTGTTTCAATGTTTTCATCACATGTAGTGATGGAGAGCTTTGCTTGAGAATCACCATCGTCATCCCCCTCCTCCTCTGCGTCCTCTAAGTTATTACTGAGGAAGTTCTCCTCATCTATAAACGTTATGTTTGCATTTTGGATGGTCAGAGGATGATAGTCTTTGGAGTCCCATGTCCTTCGACCACCTGCCCCACAATCTCCCACACCTCCATTCTCCAGATCTACGTCCTTGTCCAGCTGGTTTTCAAACATTTGGTTCTGGTCCAGTTCTAGATCACCCTCGACTTGGTCCTCTGTTAGCAGCAAACCATTGTCCGTGCCCAGAAGGTAGTTCTTGGACTTGGAAAAAGCCACAGTGACGCGGTCACTGAAGCTATAGCGCCTCTTTTGTCGTGGTGAGCGGTCCAGACTGAGGATGGTGTGACCATTATACATGGGCGCATCATTGCAGCTCTTGGAACGATTGATATCCTTGGTTTTGTTGGTGGTAATGGAACCACTGTTTGCAACTCTGCTGTCTCGTTTCGTGCCGATCTGCTTAATCAGATCGTTGTAGCCTTCCTGCTTCTTGGACAAAAAGCTGAAGATGTTGACATCATTAGGAGTGGGCGGCAAACGGAGAGAAGCTTTGTGAGACTCTTTGTAGTGCCGGAGCTCTTCGAGGGATAGTTTACGGAGCTTACGGCGTTTCTTCAGCGCCTTGTGGGCCTCGATCACCATTCGCACTTTCCAGTTGAAGAACAACGAAAGCCAGGCCAACCCCAGGTAGATCCACACTTCCACAAAGTAACGGTACAATGTGGGGTAGTTTGTATTAGGATCCACACCTGTGAGGACAAAGGCAAAGGTAAGAGACCATCACAGCTCCATCTTTCTTTGTAGAGATTGGTTCAATCAGAGATATCAGAGATGTGGACTATAATGTTTGTGTTTACTTCTGATTTGGTTCAATCAAATGCTTCAATACATATGTTATCTTACCTGCCACCAAGTCTCCAAAGCCAATGGTAGTCAAGGTGACAAATGAGAAGTACAAGCCTTCAATGTAACTCCAACCCTCCTGGGACATGAACACAAATGGTGGGAGGACTAAATGCACAAGCACCCCCCAGAGCAGAAAGATGGCTGTGCATGTAAACTGAGACTTTCTCTGGAAAAGAGAAAAGACAAAACAACTCCAGGTGAGAAACCGCCGAGCTATGCAGGTACTTTCCCAGGAGGAGAGAAAAAAGCTGGTATTAACTTACCAGTGAGAATCCTTTCTTGGTTAGAAACTGTCCCAGATGTTTGGCTCGACCACCAAAGAACTTCCCCAGCTCACTGATCCAGGTGAGACACAGAGGCACGCCGAAGAGCCCATAGAAGATGCAGAATACACGCCCTTCTGGTGTCTTTGGTGCAATGTTTCCATATCCTGCAGAGGAGGACAGTGACAATGAATCGTTTGCACCTGTCAGTCTTGAGCTCGATGCAGTCCAACATCAATTGCATGCTTTTTTTAAGGCCTTTCAGCACACCTCAGTTCTTAGGCCTTCCTGCATTTTGCTGCAGCCACGGTTAATTATCAGGGCTTATGCTCAGTGTTTAGCCAATCATCTGTGTCTTATACACTGCTTATCATTGGTGTCAGGGGGATAGCCATGAAAAACCAACATTAGCAACATCTAACATTTCATAGACTGATGTTAGCAAGCAACTGCATGATAATAGTTGGCAGGGCTGTAGTTTGGATTGTGAAACTGATCTGGGGACTAAACTAAATTGAAGGTTGAGTACAGAGCACCTGACTGAGGGAGGCTTGGGTCAAATGGTCATCCCTGAATCATGAATACAGAATTACAAATGTAGAATCAGCAGCTACTACAACTGAGAGGTGTGATGCAATTAAAAAGGTTGTTTGACTGCCTTACTTTGTTTGTACAGCTTTACAGGAAGAAGAGTAAATGTTTGTCCTCCAAACTTAACCCACAGTGCACCAAATGATCTTTCAAGGTGCAAAGTTTCAAACTGCATCAACATTACTCAGTCGCATTCTCCTAAATACTTGGGTGAAGGTGCCAAAGCAGCTCCATCACTTACCGATCGTGGTGATAACAGTGGCGGCGAAGATAACAGCGTTAGGCCAGTTCCAGTTGTTGAAGGTTTTGCTGCCAGTTATTGTGACCCCTTGGCCTGCAGCATCAGACACAGCCTGAGGGAAAAAAAGAGACCACAACTAAGTACAAGTTAAAAACTAACTTAATCATAGATTGATAGGGACAACATGTACAGTGTTAAATAGAAGTTATAAGAGTCTAAGCCAAGGGACCACAGGATGTGTGTCATGTGTTATCTCTATTTCTTCCACCACATCCTTCCGTCTATGATACGTTGATGGTATCTGCAGTGGTACTGATGAGCTGAAACGGCACTGAGGCGCCCCTGAGAATCACTTTTAACCTGAGGGCTATATAGTGCTTACACTGTTGGGGAAACAGGAATGCAAGTGCTGCATCCCTAAACAGTTATTTCATAATCCCATGATTACATAACAATTGAGAAGCTTCAGGTAGGTCCTCAGCAGCACTCTGTCCTGTATTTTTTCTTGAAGACCCAAGTGTGAACAGTACAAAATGACCATAATCAGCTGTTAATGTCTGTATCTGACCGTCCAAAGAGAGGGGTACAGTTGCTGATTCTTGCAACATCCAACAGAGCAACAAATAATCAATCATTGTCAACCGTATGTGTGCTCAAACAGCCGCAACAGAAACCGGGCTGCCCCCGTTGGGTATTCAAAAAACCCGTCCGTCCCCAAAGCTGCCTAAAGGGGGGGAAATGTGCAGGGGTTAGCAAAAATTCACATAAGCCCTTAAGTGCTGGAAGTTGCATGGCTCTTTAATAATAGCAGGTCTGTGACAGTTCTGCTCTGTAATTACCCGCACAAGGGGGGGGCTTTCTTTTGTGTGCTGAAACAACACAGCTCCTCTTTTGGGCTTTGGGATGACAGCCCTGGTGACCAAGTTTGTGTTGGATCCATGACATGAAATTACTGAATGAAAACCTCACTGTCCCGCTTACGCATTTTCACATTTGACAGTCAGCACTTTCTGTAATTACTGGTTATAGTTACATGCGTGGGCTAACCTTTTTGTTGGCCGTGTTCAGGCTGAAATCCTACTCAGCTAAAGCTTGGATACAACAAACCGGGTTTTCCAGTTGGCCTAATAAAGAGTCAAGATCACACTTACATAGATGTAGCAGTCTTATTGCAAAAAAAGGAAGACAAGATTGGACTTCCCCCTTTATTATGAAGAATCCACCACATGCAACATACAGATGGAAGCACGTCAGCCACAATGGGAGTTTGTCCAATTCATCTACTCAGTGTACCCTAGACAACCAAACCATTCATCAATGAAGAGAGTCTCAGATGGCCATTTTTTCCTCCATCACTCATCAGTGTCAGCTGAAGGAAAACAAACCCTCTAAATTCAGTCTTAAAGCTGCACCTTGAAGTCTAGTCCTTAGAGGAAGGCAGCCATATTGGTATCAAACACATGCAACAGAGTTTGTAAAGGGAAGTGAGACTTTTCTGTGTCGGTAAATAAAAGTATGTGGATGTGCCCCAGTCGAGAAGACACTGAAGTCAGCAAGTTACAAAAATGTCCAGACAAGCTCGGGTTCAACTCCAGGGGTGTGCACTCTCGCCATGAATGCTCGGCAGCACCAGAAACCACTCACAAACACATATCACCTTGTGCTCTTGCAGATACGTGCACTATGTCACAGTGCAAAATGAAGCCAAATATTATTATAGCCAAATATCCTAACAACACACCAGAGCTCTGTCTGCACGACAGAACACACCAATCTGATCAGATGCCAACAACAACAGTAGGCCTGCTCCAAAGAGCCAAAGCATGACACTTCCCTGTTTACTGCAGAAACAGAGGTGTATGTTAAGTTCAAGTGAAAAAGTCTCTCTGCATTATAATCATCCATCTGAGAGAACAACTACCATCCCACCATGTATGTTCAACCTCCTCATGCATGGATATCTCAGCCTGTCCCATTTAATGCAAAGTTACTCTTCTCTTGCTGTTTGAGTTCATTTAGTCATTTCCTCTTTTTTTTGCGGCTAGTTTGAGAACCCATCTGTAAAGCAGAACACTGTCGAACAACATGAACCATCAACCCTGTCACTGACACCATTTCCCGATGCTCCAAAAATGTGACTCGGAAATTAAATTCTTGACAAAAACCTGACAACGAGCCAGCTCATTTCTTAAAGACTAAGAAGATCTAACAGGAAGCCTTTGTGTTTTCTAACACTGACGTGTTTATGTAAAAACAGAAGTGAAACTGTGAGGCTTCACTGCAGACAGTAGCAAACTAAACGCAGGTTACTTGAGTTATTTGATAAGAACCACGTGTGTTCAGCCATCAAACCTTCCTACAGAGAAAGGGCAACAGGTGTCACATGTACAGTCAAGTTTCCAGCGTGGTGGTTTGTCCTGATGGAAAGTGATAAGCTGTTTACAGGAAAACATCTGCACTAGTTTTATACAACAAAGTGGGTTTACACTTAAAGAGCACGCTGCTTTGCTTTAGTCATTCTGAGATTTGACTCTTATGAAATATTACCTCACTCCAGTGCCGTTGTGGTAGCTTTGGGGGACCATGAGGTTTCTTTGCTGTGTGGAAAAAGTGAATATGTTTGGTTTGTGCATCTTGTCTGTGGTCTGAGTGCATGCTCGGCTCTGCACCTGATGAGGGTGATTTGCACATGTTTGCTCTGTCTGCCAGATAAAAAGTGCTGAAGTTTGGGACATGCAAAACGCTGATGCACAGGAATACAATGAGGGCAGAGTGCAAGATGCATCATGGGAGAGAGCGCCTTGCCCTCATTGAGTGTCACCACAACACAAGATGAGGACAACTGAACTCTTGATGCAAATCTTTAAATATCATGTCTTCATGTGATTTTCTGTCTTACTGGTCTTTACAGAGTGAAAGGATGCTCATTATGGAGCTGAAAAGCTTTTGTCGTTTACAGGGTCCTCAGGAGGTTAAAGGGTCAGCCACTGGTCAACTAATGGTCACTTCAGGTCACTAATGACCCTGAGAACAAGGCAGACAAGCAGGAGCCCTGGCTCAGGAAGAAGTTAATCAACTGGATTCTCTTAAGTCCAAAGCTCAAGCCCAACAGCAGAGAAGACGACACCGAATTGAATAGAAATGTTCATGAACAGGGTGGCACAGAAAAGAAAAACACTTTGCTGTTGTGAGTTTAAGATGCTTCTCCAAACCAGTTTTATTTTTGTAAATGTTAAAGGGAAAAACACTTTAAAGCAGAAAACAACCCAGCCTTTTCAGCATTTATCAATCTCTCTAAATGTTGTTTCAAGTGGTCTTTATTGAGAAGACAACACTACAAGTGCAAAGTCACAGCTTGACATTTTATATAGCAATAAATCTATTTGGGTGTTTCCTTCTTATTGCTGTTGAAATTACAAGATAGACTTTAGTGGAAACTTGGGCTGCCTGAGTTGAGCAACACTTCCTGAGAGCTGAAATGAAAAGTTTATTGACTGAGTAGATTAAAGCTTCATCTTCAGCTTTCATTATCAGCTTCATAAAGGCACAATGAGGAGTTTTTAAAAGTCTGCTGCTTGAGTTTGTTACTAAGAGGGAGATTTTTTATTTAAAATTATCCTGAATTAAACCTTTACAGAAAAAAAAGAACTGACAGTGTTATGCACATGACATCTACTTTTTCTCTTCAGATCATTTCCACATCATGGTTCGTACTCCTGGCTGACACTAGATCATGATAAAGACAAATGCTCTTGAATCAAGTATCAAATGCTTTTATAGGATCTTGCAAAAGCACTCAGGAGCTTGCAGAAGTTTAGTTTTAGACACAGATCATGGGCACCTCAGGATCTTGCAAAAGTTTCGTGAGCTCTAACAAAAGTTTGCCGGGATGAACCCTACATTAGTTTTCTCTCCATGTCCCTTAAGGAGCTGTAAAACTTATTGACCCTGTTATTTAGAGCATGTTGATGTCTCAAACATGGGAAGAGTCCCTGCAAACATGCCCCAGTTCACTTATGTTTTATTACACTGCAAAAAAAAAATACTCATCAAATATTTATCTTATATTTATCAAACAAAAGACATGCAGCTGTTGTTATGACAACTAAAGACCTATTTGGCTGAAAGTACCAGTTAACAGGGTCGTCTATGTGTGAAGCCTCGCTGCTCTTAGAGGAGTGAAGAGTCGAATCATGTGCATGTTGACATTACTGGACCATTTATCAGAAAACAGGAGGGAGCACAATGAACTGGTCATCTTTTTAAACTCAAACGGTCATAAATCAGAGTTTACTCAGTTTAGTCATGGCTGTGTTACAGTCAAGTTTGAATTTCTGAAAATCAACACATGACCTCCTCACTCTGCATCCCACTAAAGTTTGTCCTGAACACAGAGAAGAAGTTTCCAACGAAGATCTGTTTCACTTTTTTTACTTCCTCCTCAAACGCACACTTTAGCAAAAGTGGGTGGTGCTCATGGTAAATGTAGTTATCCCAGGAAAACAGCTCTGATTTTGTCCAGGAAGAGAATTAACAAATAATAAAACTAGTTGAATGATGTTTATTATGTTTTCAGTTTCTTAGAAATATTTTGTCTGAGATTAAGGGAAAAAAAGAAAACTACTTCTAAAAATTAAAACTCTTCACAGTCCCTTCAAATATGGAAATATTCTGCCATTTGGACCACAAAACTTAGAAATGTTAAAACAAGTGCTCTTACTGGGAATGTGGTGACAATGAAAAGACAAAACAAACAAACAAACAGCTAAATCAAGTTGATGCAACTACAGCAAGAATATGATTTGAATATTATCAGTGCCTTAAAAATACAATTGTATCTAAAACTTAAAGTATGTTGCTGCAAATTTCAGTCAATACAACCAGATTTCTGAGTATTTACGCATGGAGTAAAGATATTTCTGGATTTGTTGCACCGCATCAAAGTCAGCTGATCAGCTGCCTGCAGTGCAAGTTCAACATCCTTCATGAAAGCAGAGCACCTTCCAGAGCAGTCCCATGACTGAATCAAGCTTAAGTATGTCAAAGTAAATGATTCCTAAACTTTGTTAGACCTGAAACAGTTTCCAAACCGCAGACACAGCAATCTGCCCCCGCCACACGCTGATAACCAAAGAACAGTAACAACCACCAAGACAAACTCCAACTGTTATCAGTACAGCTGATGGTCCAGCAAACTGGTCCAGTTTGTGGGTATTTTTCCACTTCCAGCATGTGAGCACAACAAGGCAACAGCTGCATGAAGTTACTCGAGCTCTTTCACATCGTCATGAATTGATTTCTGATCAAGTCAGCTGCAAAACAAGCTTGAGAAACAAGCCACTGGAAAAAAAAACAAACATACAAAAAAAAAACACAAAAAAAAAAACCACATTCCCTATCCTTAATTAAGGAACTAAAATAATCAGAATAATAATGATAATAAATTTTGTTTGCAACACATTTTACATTAGAAATTTTTTTAAAGTGCTTCACAAGCAATAAAGGGAATTAAAAGCAGTAAAATGACACAGAGCAAGAGTAAAACAAGAGACGATTACAAATTAATAGATTCTTATAAAAGGAAGGTTTAAAGACCCTTTTTAAAACTCAAAAGAAAAGAAGAAAAAAGAAGAACCATCCCTCCCTCAGAAGTCAACTTCAAAAAGAAAGATGCAAGAAAACTTGTTCCCTTACACAGTTACACAGCTGATTTTCAGGACTTTGTGGTGACACAACAAAAAAAAGGAGTGAGCTGTTCAACTTCCAGACAATGCAAGTATTTGGGTGTCTCGCATCTGTAACACAGAGTGCACTACTTTATTAACAGGTTTGTGAGCGGCTGCTCTCAATTAGGTGGTTGAAAGGCTGATTTTATTAACACTACAGTTGGTAAATGACTATATTATCCTGCCTTTGTCTTTGTTGGGCTGTTAAACCTTTAAGGGTTTATTGAACACACTTACAAGGACTTGATTATCCCAGTTTTGATTGTGTTTTATGTGCATGTAGACATTACATCCCAATATAAGACAAAGTGATTAATTTGAGTCAAAAGCCCTCAAGAGCACAAGTAAACCTCGCGAACGAGGCAACACCTGTGTACCACATGGTCAAACTGAACAATGGGTCTGGGTAACACTGTTATGAAGCTCCTCCATCTTCATTCAACTTTAGCTTTAAATTGACTCTGATATTTGTACCCCAGTCTTCATGTTCAGGCTGAAACATGGGGACTGAACGGAAACCGAATGAAACTTTGCTTCTGTGGGTATATTTCAGATTTCAGCTGAATTCAAAAGTAGATCCAGCTAACCTAGATGTCCAAATATGTGTGTAAAAATATTGCTGAAACAAGGACATGCACCAAATTCATGTCAAATTGAAGCTGCTGCCCTACCAGCAGCTCATGCTGGTGCCAGTGGTCAGTTAAAACTTTGGACCAAGAGCGACAGACATGGAGAACTACTGAAAGAGTACATGCATCATTCCTTCACTTCACTTTAAGAGCTTTTGGCTTCATACTCCTGATCTGACTTGTGGTGAAATATATTTACAATGTGGCATATGAAAAATTTATGGATTTGAGTTCTTTTCTGCTTATATTTCATCACAGGCTGCAGATCGAACAAATAACCTAGTCTTTTCAAGCTTTCAGAACACTGACTTAGGTTTATGTCTAATGATTCAAAATAATGAATCATGGTAACATGCATTGGTGCTCATGCACGCCCTTGGTCGCTACAGCCTTTGTCCCTTGGCTTTTCAGACACACACTCCTGCTCCTGTCCCTGCTCTCCTCTCTTCACCTGTGACAACGTCTTCATGCTCTCAAACTTTGTTTCATGTTGAACCAAGCCGCTCTCGGTCAAAGTGGAAGCTGTTTCATGGCCAGGATCCTCTCTCATTCTCAGGTAAGCAGGGTCAGGATAACAGCAGCTAGTGACGGGGCTCTTACGAAGTCAGTTTTTAAAGCCGGGTCTCTCAGGACCCAAACACACTCCACACCTCGGTGTTTCTGCAGTCAGACATAACGAAATGATGGGAGAAATAGTCCGAAACAGGAACACTGATTATTCACTGTTGGCAGAAAAACAGACCTGTGCAGGATCCCTCATCCTGTAGAACTGAGCCACCATGAAGCACCGCCACCAGGGAATACCCTCACCAAAACAGCCGCACTTCCAGTTGATGTATTTGCCCTTCAAGAAAGTCAGCTTCAGTTCTTACAGCTTGTTGCAGCTTTTGTATCTTTTTAACATTCATGTCCTGAAAAAAACTAACTTAAAAAAGGGTCTTCGTTCTGGAAATAGCACTGATACTTTTGGAGCAGGAGACTCAGTTCAGGTTTGTTGTAATTAAACCTCCAGAACGATGCAGATCAACTGAAATTGATAAGATGCCTTTTTCCCACGGGAACGAGCCGTCTGGGTCAGTCTAATAAATTAGTCTCTGCTAATCAATTGACTTTAAACTACATTAGTGCCCTCCACGGGTTCAGTCAGTGTAATCATATCTTTTTGTTAATACTGGCACAGACACGTCAGCTTGGGAGTCAACATCCCCCAGATAGAACCCAGGGCACATGACGCAGTTAGCTATTCCTGAAAACAGAGTACCACTTCATTCAGCCGGGCTTTTTTATTCTAACCTGAGGCCATGTTTCACTTTATGCATGTGACAGCAGTGTGTGTCCAGCAGTGTTTGTAAGTGTCTCATTAGACCACACAAACGTGATCCTGAAGTCATGTGCAGCAGGAGTATCAAGAAAATCAGATAACCTCGATTTCACAGGCAACAAGTTCAAATCCCAGGAAGGCACATTTTTTTTCTGAAGTTATTCTGCTAGACTTATTCTGACTAAAGGTCCCTACATACCGGGACCGACGCAAATATACGACGCGAAATTACAAAATATTCGGAGGCGAATTTTGACGCGCCCGGCTATACACATCAAGCCCAATGCGATTCTGCAACTTTCCGGAGGGGGGAAAGACGCGTCCCAGGTGGAAGCGAGAAGAGTGACACAACAGCAGACTGACTGTTTTTCAGTTCTGATTAGACACTAGTGTTGAGATGTCTGTCTATCATGATAGCATGTACTGAGTTGGGGCCAGTACCACATAAGCACATTAAACTATAATCCATAAACGTAAGGTAACAACCGAGACCTAATGGTGCTGTGACAGCAACGCTGTGATTGAATTTGGGACAGTGAAAATACATATGGTATGTTGTACCTAAACAGGTTAGCTTATGAGCTAAAGTTACTTAGCACAGATGAAAGTTAAAACAAAGATGTTTAACAAACTGTTAAAGCACACAATTCGTCATATGAGAAATCCGACGCTATGACTCTCCACAAGTTGTCCTTCAGGTCGTTATCTTTGTAATATTTGTGTCTTTTATCAAAAAGCACTCTGTTCTCCGACACGTAAACAATCAGCCGATCGGCCATGTTGGATATACCGGTGAATCAGACGTCGCAACAACACGCAATCCGATTGGTCAGAAGTGGACACACAATATGCGAAACTTAGATAAATCGACCGTAAACCGAAAAAATAAATGCCGTAATATCGCAGGACGGGAAAATATTGCTGATGTAAACGCCTGTATTGACAGGATGTGGGTTCAAAAAAAAATATGTCCGAAATAATCACATGAACAAAAAGGTCCCGGTGTGAAAGGACCTCAACTCCTGACATTGACAATCCACTCAAGAACAATATAGTAAGCTTAAAGTTTAAAACACAGGTTTGTTATAACATGCACTGGTCATGGTTTTTCTCAGGCATAGTGGACAAATTTTACAGGGCCAACAAAGGCTGTTAACTTTTAAGCTCCTGTGAGGAATTTTCAGTTTATGTTAACTTTGGCGCCCCCCTTTATTTAAGGTGTTAAAACAGCAGAAAAGACATTTACAAGTTGTTGCGCCCAGTTTTGTTTGCCTTTAGCTATTCTAAAAAAGTATTCTAAAAAGGCATCCATGTGAGTTTGAGTATATTTCAAAAACAAGAAAAAACTACTCACAGGAGCTTTAACTCCAAAAGCAAAACTATATTTCTATACACATTCCTACTTTATAATATGATATAAAATGACTCATAACATGATGGATTATACTTCATTTGTGTGCATACTAACTGAATGCAGAGACTCTGCTGAGCTGATGTGACGCAAGTGTTTAACTGTAACTCTGCAGCTTCATTTTATGGTTTTGTTCAAGCAACACCACAGTTTGAATAGTTCCTACCGTCACAGTATTTTAGCTTAGCATATTTAAAATTTAGTGACACTAAAAAAATTTTGAAACCAACAGATCCAGTTTTTTGTTTTTTTTTCCAGTTTTGCTTCGTCTACACCCTCGTCCCTTTATTTACAAGTTTATTTGCACTGTAGCCTCATTTAGCCTCAATATTGTGGTAAAAAATTGTTGCATGCCTACTGGACATATATTTATACCTGTTTTTTTTTTTTTTGCAGAAGATGGATAAGGATTTAATAAGTGTTTTTGTTTTTTGTCATTTAAATTTTGATCTGAATTTGTTTTCTCTTCATAGTTCCAGTTGCAATGAGAAGTGCAGTAAAGGGGAAAGAATCAGCAGCAATTTGGTTATCTGATGACTCATTTCCTTGCTGGTCTATTGCTGCTAAGACTATTTACTGTTGAGTTTTCAAGATTAAGACTCAAACTTACTGAGCAAGAAAGCAGCAAACCTAAAAGGTTTTATTGCTCAGCTTTTGTTGAAGTTTGAATGGGAACATAGGATCAGCCTTATTTGCACAGGTTTGATAATATCAGGGGGATCTCTTTGCCACTCAGCCTTGACTGTAGCTTGAAGAGAAAATACCACCTGCAGTATTTTGGGGCATTCAGAGGTCCTCTGATAATCCAGCCCAAATTGTCCCTTTTCAGGTCAAAAATGTGGTCTCCTTTTAATGAATTCCCAGCAGGCTGCATGCTACAGAGAGTGAGTCCTCCAGTGCCTCCAGGGATGAGGCACATGTTGTGCAGCAACTCAGACAATCAGAAATGTCTGAAAATGTGGGTAAGATACATGGATCGTTTATTCTGTGCAAATGCACCACACCCACCACTGATATAAGGGGGTATTCCTGTGCATCTGTTTTTGTACGAATGACAAGAAAATTTCACAATCCTTTATACACTTTTTGGGACTTTTGGTTAAGCAAACATGCGAAATCTACTTTGGCTTCTGCTAATTCATATTTTCCGTGTTTGCAGAGTAAAGTCTTGTTTAGAGAAGTATGCGCAGTGCTGCATATTTCATCATGCATTCTCCCTCTTCTCACTGGCAACGCTCAAACACAGTGCACGCGTTGCTGAAAATTTACAAGTGACGAATTCTTATTTGCAGCAGAAATAATGTGCACACAGCCACCTCTCCTCATTGAGTGTTTATGACAGCTTCTCAAGAGCAAGCGTTGATGGACCATAAAATCCATTCTGTAAACTGTGACCACTTCAAGGCTCCAATAGTTAATAGTAAACTTCTTGTTAACGAAACAGGGAGCATTAACTTTTACGAGACAGTCGCCTTCTTGTGTGAGGCCTGCCTTTACATTTTAACTGTTAACAAGCTGAGAAAAGTTTCCACGATGGAAACCTCATCGAAATCTGCTCCTGACACTTGAGGCTAACAAAGGCGATATTCTGTTCATCCAGGTTATAAAACTGACTCTGGAGTCTTTGCAACAGGTGTCACAACTGAGGAAAACTACTGCTTAACATGGTGGAAAGACTCAGGAATGCGTGCGTCAAAAAGCAAAACTGATATGATAATCAGGAAAAGGGTTTAAGTTGTGGTTTTAATTATCTTTCCAAAGCGCCTTGAGAGTCCATAAATGGCATTATGATGGTCTGTGTCCTTCAGAGAGCGCACAGGAGCAGGAAATGTTTCAGTTTCAGCTCAGTGGATTCAACTCAAGAGTTCAACCAAAGATCAAAACGTCACCGCAGCTGCAACAAGAGAGAGCTCCAAAATCCCTCAGCAACAATATTCCTTCAAACCTCCTCATGGAAATTAGGCCACAGCGGGGATTTGACCGTTATGCAGATGCCATGAATGGGGGGAGGTTCAGGGGCATATCCCTTTCAGTCCCCCCAAACACAAAAAGCAGAAGGAAGCTGAAGGGGGGTCAGGGGATATAATAGATCTCCCTAATACTGATGTGGGCCCCATAAGGGGGACAGGTTGGGACATGTTTCTACTCATATCTGCAAGTGCAAAAGGGAAAAAAATCAATTTCTTCATAGAAATAGCAGAGTTTCATGCTTTGCACACACAAATCCTTTTTTTCTGCACTCTTATTCTTGGTAAAAAATTTGCCCCTGACATATAAAGATAGAGCCGTCTCTTCAGTCTCAAACATTCAGAAATCAAGGTCAGGAAGCCGCTGTGTTTCAGGGCAGTGAACAAACACCTCCTCGGGAGGAAAACACCTGTTAAATCACACAAGTGTTGACTTACTAAGTGATCCTTCATGGCTGCTGGTAAAACTGCAGGCGAATAACACCGGATTTACTGCAGGAGCGTGACTTTTTTCTGCGCAAGAAACAGTCAATGGAACACCATGTACTGCAGATGTAAGGGCTTAGGTTGAAGATAGGCCTCCTACTCTCAGTATCATAATGATTATACCAGACAGACAGACAGTCAGTCTGTGACTTTGATGATATGACACTTACTGTAGCTGCAAATAAAATCATTAACATCATTAGTCATGGACGCTATGACCTCACCAAAGATAAAACCAGATAACATCTGCACGCCTTTAAAAGGAATTTACAACATTTGAGAGAATTTGGAGATAACTGCCTGTTTGACAGGTTGCTGGTGAAATTGCAACGCTTGAGGCCTCAGGCAGACTAAATTTGGGTGTGTTGACCCACAGACTTGAGCCGTGGATTGACAACTTTCATTCCTCAGAGGTCTTGTGAGTGTTTAGTGAAAGTTTCCAAAGCAGCTGAGGCTCATTAAGCTCCATGTGTCACAGCCTCTGACAAATAAGTGAAAGAAAAGTGCAGCAGTCGGCTACCAAGTTTGAGCACTGAATCCCTGTGAACCCATGTGCACTCAGAGAAGTCTGCAGAAGTTTAGAGAAGGATCAAAAGTTCAGTGAGTTTGAAAACGTGTCCATACCTCTAATATTCTGTCCAAATCATCTTTCCTCAGACAGGGATAGTCCTCAAGTATTTTATTCTTCTTGTCATTGTACTGCTGTGCAGCCTTCTTCCAATTGGGCTCCTCCAAGACTTGAAAAATTGCTGCCCCAATGGACAGGTAAAAAATGATGGCAGAAGTCAACAAGGGGCCTTTATCTACCATACTTCTTTGCAGTGACTCAACTTGGAGAGCGCGGGACAGGGGAAAAAGAGAGATGAAGGAGGGGGGTAGATAACAGCAGTCCCCGGAGTTATGCGGGAGTCATTCTCTGTGAGTCTTTGGGTCTACAAAATGTTTCTTCTTCCGCTCGAGGACTCTGCAAAAACGACGGAAACCTGCGGCTGCTGGCAGCATTGGGCTCGCGACACAACGGGACAAAAGTGTCATTAAGCGGAGCAGGGCGCGCGAGTATCGGCAGCTGCAATAGTTGTAGTTTCTCCACGTGCGCAGCCAGAGAAGTAGTGCTTGATGAAAGAAGTGAGCGGAGAGAGGAGTGAAGAAGATCCGCCCAGAAAAGCTCTCAGGGAGGGGGTCAGACCCGCTCTCTTTTTGTTTGCTCTTTATTTGTTAGACTTCAGTACAGGTGTACGGACTTTTTTTTTACTTTGCCCCTCCAAAAAAAACCCTTAATTATAGCGAAGAAAAACTTTTTAAACTTTCTTTATAACTTCCCCCGAGCTCATTCGGACATGTGGCAAAGCGCAGTTCGTGTTTTTTTTTCTCCCTTTTCAACGTGCTTTCAGGAATACCGTGAGTCTACACTGTAAAATTGAGCTCATGCTGCGATATGAGCACAGAAATCTTTATTTATTGAGATTTAAACCTTTAAAGTACTAGTAAGCCATAGTAAGAGTTTTTTCCCCCCTTTTAACATTGAAATTCATATTGATGCCCTTTAATGATATGCAAAAGCAAATTAGATCATTGATGACAAGATTGACTATTATTACAATGCGAATGTTAATGTCTGTAACCAGGATGTCTTAATTCAATGACCACAAATAAGAGATTAATTTAACTGTTATAAATCAGAAGGATGAGATTTTTGTCAAATAAGACCGCTTGAGCATGTAGAGGACAAGATGGGCATTTGTTGCTTTGCTCACAGGGGGCGCCCAAACTGATGCGAATCAAAAGTTCCTCACTGACGCTTTAAGACTACCTCAAAGCTATGGTGGCCCTGATGGTAATGAGTACAAAATTTCATGCCATATAAGGCAAAGAAGTAACAGTGAATGAAAAAAAAAATCTTTTGTAATACACACAAAAAAAGCATGAAGTGCAAAAATAAAAAGATAAAACAAAGAAATTTCATAAAATACAGAAATAATTTATCAAAAGCTAAAATATTTCACAAAAATATTGTTTCTGTAAAGGCAAAAGTACATCAGAAAATACAAAAAACAAGATGTTTCATGGATTGCAAAATTGTAAAAAGTAAAAATTTATTTTGTTTTTTATGTAATGCAGTAACTAAACAACATGAAAGGAAAACACAAAATGTAAATATTGTTATATTATTGGTTTGATAAATTTTTTGTCTTTAATATCCGTGTGTTTTTTTCAATGTTTATTAAGTATTCTGGTTGCCATCGTTCACCTTCAGCACAGATTCAATTTGAAGACTGAGATCATGGAAGTGTGCTGTAATTTGAGCAAGAATCTTACGATTTTATTCCAGTTTTACAAATTGTGATGACTTTTTAAGTGCTTAAAAAATCAACAGCCAGCATAAATAAAAAAACATAAATTATAATAAAATCTAGGGAAAGAAATTCAGAAGAAACAATGTAGAGGAGGCTGTTCCAGGTTTCACTTCTGAGAAGGAAGTCAAACTTCCAGCAACAGAGGGACAAAGAGGAGATGTGTCAGAGGAGGATTTCCTTATTTTTTAAGCTAAAAAAAAATCTTTTCTTGTTAATTTATTCCAACCTGGAGAGTTGAAACTGAGATTTCACTTTTGAAACTTGAATGAAAAGAGTGAGAATTCATCTAATCGGTGAAAAGTGGGAAACAAGACTACATTGCAAAAATGCCACTTAATATGAAAATATTTATCATTTGGAGAAGTTCAAACTAAATTTACCTTGAAAGTCCAGGAAAACATGTTGATTCAAGATACTGCAAGCCCAAAACAAGACTTGACATATTCGTAGTTTCTTGAAACAACAATAAAATAAAAAGATGAAATAAAATAAAATGAAATCAAATCCTTTACCCTATAGGCTTCTTTTATTCTTTACAGGCGATTCAGGTTTGTAATGTCCCAACAGAAGGTGATCGTCTTCTTATGTCCCACAAACGCATTTTGTACCTTTGACAATCTGACATAATTCTTGACTTTCATTTTTTTCCTTTTGTTGAATCTGCCTCAAGACAATATTTTTTATAGATAAAGTCTATAAATGATCCATTTAATACGTTTATTTTCCTGCATGTGATAATTTGTGACTCTTTGATCATCATCTTCATCGAGTTTCTTTCTCCCCTGTGAGCTTCAGTCCAGTGACTGCTTTTCCTGACGCCTGATTTGAGTGACCAACTCTGTAAATTAATGATTAGATAATAATTTGCAGTGCACTTATCAGATGTTTACGGTGCAGGTTATTGATTACTTTATATCGATTTCCAGCCTCCAAATTCCAGCAAGATTGACGTGTAGGTTTTTGTTGTTTATTGTTATCAACTGTCAATGATGAAGTTGGTTAAATATTGTCCCACAGGGTTGCAAATGTAAACACAGTAACAGAGCGTTAGAAAGCCATAGTAGTCCATCATGGACTTCAGCTCACCCATAGAAGCGGTTTGACATGTTCCCCAGGTGTAGCCCTGATATCTCTTGCAGTTGTTTGATATGATAATCTGTATCAGTGTGCAGTAATCTTGCAATTAGAGAAGTGAGGTTCAAAGATGGTGACAAAGCGTGCATGCCCCAAAATGACAGACATGTGCAGAGCTGGAATGTTTGTTCAGGTGATGTCCTCTGTTTTCTCTGTGTGGACGCAAAAATTAAACAAAGGTGCAGAGGTATTGATCCTTGGTAAGAGACAAGACAGATTATGATCAGCCGGTACAATGAGTGCAATTTAATGTGCATTAACAGCATTACAGGGTGTGAAAGGGGAAAAATAATATTGTTTGATTGAACATTTCCAAGTTATTGCAGTCACAAGACCTCAGAGTAGTTGTGGTCTCACTGTGTAAGCGAGCGGCTGTGGGAGAATTCAAGGCATGCAAGACAACAAGGCATTGCATCATGATCAGTGGTGCGTACTCCTCCTCGCCCTGGGCTGTTTCTCTCTGTGCGTCTATTGTGCTTCGTACTGCAGCAAGCACAAGAATAAACTCAAGCAGCTCATTTAGACATATTTCTGTGGTCATGGCCTCCTGCTTTGACAAAAACAGCAAGAATAGCTTCCTGTCATAACAAACGCCAAAATAATGGTCTTCTTCCCTATTCTGTGATGTTAAATCCCTGCGATGATGATGTTCAAGAGTTCATGCTAAGGAGTTTGTGGTAACACAGAGTTTCAGCCGTGTGCAGCTCCTTACACACAACCACTGGAATAAAAGATGCAAAATCACTAAAAAGTAGGTTAGAGATAGTGAGATGTCCCTCCACAGTGAACACCCTCATCATGTCAAAGAGCTCCTCTGACTTTCTATTTGTATTAGGAGTCAGAGGTAGCCTGCATTAACATGTCGGCACACTTTAACCAGTTATAAACAAGATTTCCTGACATTTAAATATTTAGGTCAAACTCAAAACAGTCTTTCTGTGTGCTCAAGAAGAAATCCTCCTTGCATGACTGCGGACTTCCTCCAGACTCTTTCACCACCTCTGAGCATTTAGTCAGAAAGAATAATAGTGCTGCCAGTTACCGTATGACACATTGTTTCTCTATCGATTCCTGAAAGGAAACTTATTAGGGATTCTCACCATAGAGAACTCGCTCTAGTTCAGCGTGAAGTCACTTGGAAGAGAAAGTAGTTTTGCAAGTTTCTGCAACACGATGAATGTGGCATGCAATTTCTTCACGTGTCTGATATTTTTACTCTAATTTATTTTAAACACAGCAAGAGCTCTAAGCTGCATTCATTAAACTTGTGCAAACATGCCAGCATGATGTTGCAGAGTACCTTATTTCAACAAAATATTCCCAGGATCCAAACAGGCAGATGATTTCAGAGCAAATGTCAACAAAATGCAAAGAGTAGATAAACATTCAGGGGATTTTCAATTGAGCTGACAGGATGGGTTCAACTCTGGTGTCTGTGATGTGCAATAATTCGGCCAGAGCCAGCAGCTGTTAACTCAGCTAAGCTAAACATAAAGACCAAAACAAGGGGATCAAGAGGTCTGAGAGTTACAAAATTTCACTCAATCTGTCACCATGGTAGCTCACTAATTCATGCTTTATGCCTCATTTGGTTAATCTGTGCAAAGAAACGCAAAGACAGACATGTGCTGTTTTTGTTTTGGAATTATAGGAGCAGACTTTTTCATTTCTGGGAACCAGCTGGGAGGCAACTACTGGAGGCCGGTGCCGCTTCCCAATTTGCTTTTTTCCATCAGTCAAGTGCACAGACTGGTTTCTGCAGAATCAAACACATGGTTTACACTCTTTTAAGCCTGGCAGCGTTGTAACGATTTTTAAAATATTGACCAATTTGTAAGATGTTGTATATTCTCTTTTTACCAGCAGCAGGAGTCCTGTATCATAAAGCTTTTAATCTCATGAAGTCTCTTTGTTCCACATGAAAATGGACCATGTGCATGCCTGGCTGTCCCCCCACACATACTGTATGAATTTCTAACCTTCAGTACTTTTTTTGGTAAAACATAACAACTTCCAGCAGGTTTTATGTCCTGGCAAAAAATCAGGTATGAATAAAGACACAAAGCTCAATATCCATCCACATGTCAAGGCCTATGAATTCCTGATGTTTATTTCAGCAGATTTTTGACTGTTAGACTCCAATTTTGGATGTTTGTACAGCAATGTTGCAGGATTTGTTGCCCTTAGGTCTGACCAAATAAGTGGGAAATGTCAGTGAACCTCCTTCAGTGTCTACTCTCTCCTCTGTCAATAATCCTCCTGACTCTGGGCTGTCCTGTCAATACAGGTCTCCATAAAAACTTTTAAAACCATTTAAGCTAGTGGTTTTAACTCAAACAGCTGTCATAAACAAGTGGCATAGATCCAGAAATGGGACTGTGCTTGCAGATGCCATCATATATGTCAGTCAACCTGTTTGTGTAGGTGTTTATTTAAATGAGACATGCCTTTTTAACAGTCACTCTTGCAGAGTTCTGCAAAAGCATGCACATTCTACCTGCGCTGACTCAGCAGTGTGCTGGGTTCAGAAGCACAGGCATGCAGATCTGCAGATGTCCTTGTTGTAGTGATAGAGATCAGAGATGAACAGTGTGACAGTTCAGTTCAAACAAGGTCCTGACATAATCAGATTATTGCATAACACTCAT